TGCCGCTGGTTCTCCTGGTAATTGCGAGGAAGAAGACCGGTGTTAAGAAAGGGGTTTATCTTAAGGGCTCAATCCCTGCACGCCCGACGCCACCCTGCGCAGCCCTGACTGACACCTGCTGCTGGTTCTCCTGAGGGGGGGAAAGGGGGAACAGGAGAAGATTCCGACAGAGAAAGGAGAGAAGAGCATCTCAAGAAGCAGCGTGCAAACCCCCTTTATACTCGCCACGATCATAGCCACAGACTCCCTGCACGCCTGGTGCAACCCTGCGCAGGCCTGACTGACACCTGCTGCTGGTTTTCCTGAGGGTCGTTGGAGTCGTTGCTGCTCAGGGAGAAGCTGATTTTGAGGCGCCTCAAAATCCGCGTGATAGGAGTCTAGTTTTGAGGCGCCTCAAAACAGGCCTGACACCTGCTGCTGGTTTTCCTGAGGGTCGTTGGAGTCGTTGCTGCTCAGGGAGAAGGTGAAACAGAGAGGGGCAGCATTCCAAAAGCAAGCGATTTTTGAGAATTCTCAAAAAATTCCTGAAGGTTGTTGGAGTCGTTGTGCAGGGAGAAGGTGAAACAGAAAGGGGCAGCATTCCAAAAGCAACCTCCCAACCCGTCTTCCAGGTTCGCTGTGAGCACGTCCCCCAATCACTGCACTGCTCCCAGTGACACCATCACTCCCTCTTCCTCCCTCTCGCCTGCTCCTCTCCTCTCACCTGCTCCCCCCTCTCACCTGCTCTCCCCTCTCACCTGCTCCCCCCTCTCACCTGCTCTCCCCTCTCACCTGCTCCGCCCTCTCACCTGCTCCATCACCCTCGCTTGCTCCTCCACCAGTCGCAGCAGCTGCTTCGAATCCCGGCAAATCTCCAAATCAAAGTCCCTCCCCTCCCACCCGCCCCTCCTTTGATTTGGACAACTCCTGGGATTTGATCAGATTCCCTCCCCTCCCACCCGACCCTCCCCTCTCACCCGCCCCTCCTTTCTCATCTGCCCCGCCCATCTCACCTGCTCCATCACCCGTGCCAGTTCTTTCACCCACTTGAATGAAAGCAGCACCTGCGCAGCAGCTGCTTTAAAGCCTCAGAGCTCATTCGCACTGAAGTCTACAGTCTACTCCCTCACAATGACATCCTCTTCTCCCCTCTCACCTGCTCCATCACCCGTGCCAGTTCCTCCACCACGCGCAGCAGCTGCTTTCCCAGCCGCCGCACCTCATCATCCCCTCGTATGCGATCCGCTTCTGAGGGATGGGGGAGAGGGTGAGGGGGGAGGGTGAGGGGGGAGGGTGAGGGGGGAGCGCGGGTGCAGAGAATGTGGCGCACCTCATCATCCCCTCGTATGCGATCCGCTTCTGAGGGATGGGCGGGAGGACGTGGGGAGAGGGGGTGGGGGGAGGAGAGCGGGGGTGAAGCAGGGGGAACGGCGCATGCACACGCTCACACACACGAACTCGCACGCCCACATGCACACGCTCACACACACGAACTCGCACGCCCACATGCACACGCTCACGAACGCACGCACGCACGCACGCACGCACGCCCACACACGCACACACACACACGCACACACACACGCACGCATGCACGCGCACACACGCACACACACACGCACACACACACGCACACACACACGCACACACGCACGCACGCACGCACGCGAACACACACACACACAGTCACACACGCAGACGCACACGCACACGCACAAACACACACACGAACAAAAGCACGCACACAGAGACGTCTCAATCCCTCACCCTGTGGCGTGGCATCCAGCTGTGAGACCCGGGCGACATGGCATGGCCCTCGGGAGGACAGCTTCTCGCACGTACTCACACATGCACTCATATCCACACATGCACTCACATCCACACATGCACTCACGGCCGCATATGCACATGCACGTGTCATCCACTCGCTCACCCTGTGGCGTCGCATCCAGCTGTGAGACCCGGGCCACATGGTATGGCCCTCGGGAGTTGATGGACTGGATGGCGAAGCGACACACGCCCTGGGGGAGAAGTGAGGCGGGGAAGGGGCACAAGGGGTAGGAAGCATAAGCACATGGATTGACCTTCGGCGGCAAGAGACGGGCGACATGGTATAGCCGTGCACCCTCTAGACAATCAAGCCTGCAACCTTCAGATCAGACTAGCCCTACCTTCAACACTTATGGCATCACCCTACGTGCAGCACCACGGCACAGGTCACTCGGCCAGTGGGCCGCTCCACGCCCTTGGCCACGCGCAGCAGCATAAACCCACCATGACAATCCCGTAGTGGCATCCCCACAGCAGTACCGTAAGCACCAGAAACCCACCCACCCACGTCACCCTGCATGCAGCACCACGGCACAGGTCACTCGGCCAGTGGGCCGCTCCACGCCCTTGGCCACGTGCAGAGCACGAGCAGCCACACCCCTGGGGTGCCAGTTGACGTCCTCCCGCAGCAGCCTCGCCGTCGGCCACTTCACCTCCTCCGGCCCACTCTGCACTGCCCTCCCTTCCGCGCCCTTCCCTCCTTCCTTCCTCTCTTTGACCCTGCAGTTGACACGGAGCTACCTACATCAGTAAGATCAACTCACCTGCAGCACCACTGCGTAGGTCACTCGGCCAGTGGGTCGCTCCACGCCCTTGGCCACGTGCAGAGCACGAGCAGCCACGCCCCTGGGATGCCAGTTGACGTCTTCCAGCAGCAGTTTCCCCATCGGTCCTCTCACCTCCTCTGGCCCACTGGGGCCCCACACCCGCACTGCCCTCCCTGCTGCCGCTCCCTTCCCTTCTCTCCCTCCTGCCCCTTCCTTCTCTCCTCCTGTTCCTACTTCCCCTTCCATCCTCCCCTCCGTGATTCCAGGCCCTGCTGGTCCTCCCGGCTTGCCATTGCCACCAGTAGCACCGGATTCAGCACCAGAATTTCCTTTAGCAGTATCCTCGGTTTTAGCTAATCCGAAACTGCCAGTAGCAGTGGCGTCGGACGAGCCGGGAGGCTCTATAACGGGTACGATTCCGATCAGAGCGGGCTTGTCCTTCTGCCAGAGCTCCTGCTCCACCAACCGCACGCTGCCACGTGGAGGCAAAATGGGAGCATGAGAAACGTGTTTTCCATTTAGAAGTTGCAAACGACAGGAAGTCGGAGCACGTGATGCGGACGATAGCGGCCGGCTGCAGCACCCTCTTCCGGTATGGCAGGATGGTCAGCCGCTCCAGCCGCTCCGGAAACAACGTATCCTCCGTTCAGGAGACACTGCCTATGCTGGTGGGGCACTATGACCGTCCCGCAATTGAGTGTGGGAGGGCTACAGGTCCGTCCTGGTCCGGGGAGGTAATGGGTGCGCTACCCACCACAACCGCAGGCCCTTTTAACCCAGTCGGTAGCGGGCTGGGCCAACAGCCTATTCCCTATCAGGTCGCTCGGTGCTACCTACCTGCTGGGGTCCGAGCACGTTATGCGGACGATAGCTCCCGGCAGCAGCACGCGGTTGCGGTACGGCAGGATGGCAAGCCGCTCTGGCAGCTCCAGGAGGAACGAATCCTCCGCGCCGTCGGACGCCATTTCTTGCCACTAGTAGTGCTAGGATCGCCCTTCAAAGTACGACGAAGAATGCGACGAAGAATGCGACGAGCAATGCAACGATCAATGCGACGGTCAATGCGACGAGCAATGCCGCACTATGGCGCGAAGCGAGACGCTCTCTTCTGGCGTTTCTCGCGGCGACTCCTGAAAGCTAGACAGTCTTAGCCGCGCCACTTAGTCAGACACCGATTTAGCCGTTTAGCCGTCAGCCGGGCCGTTGTCCTAGGCGGTCACCGTGACTCGACCGTGAGCTAATGGAGCAGCAATGGAGGAGCAGCAGTCCACGTCAGCTGGTCTACACCGAGGCTAGGCTCCTGGAATTCCGCCTCTTAGAATTCCGCCTCGTGGAATTCCGCCTATGCTGACGGCAGGACTAAGGTTTCCCCTCTCTGCTAGAACCAGAGCGAGAAACTTCAGTGACAGAAGAAGAGACGGATTCCTGATTCCGAATTCCTCTTGACCCCAACCAGTCATCAGCCGGAAGGCGTCGTCTCTCTCCACCGTCGTTGCACGGCAGAGGAAACCCGGCGTCGCGTCTGACGGGACGGGACAGCAGCCAGCCAGGCTCCAGACTACTGTAAAACGACGCCTCCTGCTACCGTAAACGGGAGCTGCTTTCCTACGGGCTTTTCCCAGGAGCCTGCAGCCTACAACCTGTAGGAGCAAAGCTTATCCTACAGCCTTTTCCCACGCTGGAAAGCGGGTTTCCCTGAGCTGGTCAGGTTTCCACCACCTAGCAGGAATCTATGCACCTCGCTGGAGTGGTCCCCACTCCACATCACATCTAGTCTCCTCTGAAGTGGCGCTGGAGATACAGCGCATGCATGAATGCTTTTGACGTTTGTTACCGTTACAAAAACACCTCACACGAAAGGCACCACTCTTGCCAACGAGTATTTTTGTGGCACTCAGAGTGTTGACGAACCTGACCTATTTTCGCGAATTGTCGTAGGCACATCACGGCGATGACGCGCACTCACACATTTGTGGTGGACAAATCGCGAAGAAGCCTGCGAAAGCGCTGCAAACGGACTAGACACGAAACATTTATGCATTCCGCGTCAGCGTTACGAAACTCTCTCATCCGAGCGTCCAACAGCAAGCGATGCAGCATGGTCATCACCACCACAATGCGTGTCTTGGAGGACTTCTGACGTGGCTTGGTGTGGTGGTCTCTTCTGTAGCGAACAGAACTGTCTTGTTTGGGATCGATACGAGCTGCACTCCTTTCTATATAGCGTATTAATATTTGTATGGTCCCTCATTTTATTCACCATTTACAACTCTTATCTCCCCTAATCACCTTACCTAGCTATCAACTCATTTTCTTTAGAAACATACCATAGGATATTTACGTTTTCGTTCCTAGATGCTACTCTTCTCTCGCTTCTAATGCTCTGGCCAAATCTCCCATCTGGGTCAGTCCACTAGTTCGTAGTGTCATGTGCAATGTGGCCGCTATTGTGTTTGTGGTACAAGTAAGCATGTATGAACAGAGCAGAGCCGTTTACTGGTAAATTCCGGGCCCTGGACTGCAACTTGTTACTGGCAAAATTCAAATGCATGCTTCACCATTCGCACAACGCATTACACGTGCATCTCATTCATTAGCTGACACCAGTCAGACCAGCAAAGCAGCAGCTAGCACCAGCTGACAAATTGCCCACTCGGCCAAGACTGGCTATGGACTGCCCTTTCAAGATACAAGTTACAAAAGAAACCCCTGCAGTATATTTCAACAGGTGTCTACTTGATCTTCTTCTTGGGCCGCAGCTGCAGAGGATTATGATAGGGAAGGGACAAGGGGAAACAAGGGGAGGAAAGATGTGGAAAAGCATGACAAGCAGTTTGACTAGAAAAACAAATGAAGCTAGCTGTATTTTGAGTCCACTCAGGCTGCTACTTACAGATGATCCCTAATTTACCCCCTACCAGCATGACGGCTGCCAGAAAGAGCCTGTCCAGGTGTATTTAGAGTCAACTCAAATACATCCCAGCTGTATTTTGAGTCGACTCAAGTGCTGCTACAGCAGATCCACTTATTGACCTCTTATCAGCAGGACGGCTGCCAGAAAGAGCCTGTCTAGTTATACTTCTGCCCCCCATCTGAATGCTTTCAGCCTGCACAGTTGGATGCTACGGCACGGCCCACGCAATGCCCATCTGGTCTACCTGGTCGCAGTTTCAGCCTACCTGGTTGGTGTGGCCGCACTTCTTCCTCCAGTTAATAGCGCGCGGGTGCAGGCGAGCACAGCTAACCTGGCTGCTACAGCCATACTATGCCATTCTGACAGCCAGCACACCTGGTCGCTACGGCCTCCCTACCTGGATGGTGTGGCCGAACCTCTTCTTCCTGCAGTTCACAGCACGTGGGTGCAGGCGAGTGTAGCCCACCTGGTTGCTGCTGCGACACTGCCATAACTACAGCCTGCCAGCCTGCCTACCTGCTACAGCCTGCCTACCTGGTTGGTGTGGCCGCACTTCTTCTTCCTGCAGTTCACAGCGCGCGGGTGCAGGCGAGCATAGCACCTGAGAGGCAGACACCAATAGGTCCAGGGAAACAGATACGGGAGAGGCTTAAAGGACGCAAGCGAGCAAAAACAATGCAAACCCTAATGAGAGTAACTCGGCTGTTGCAGAAGCTTCTGTACATGTTTAAGCCACCAGCAGAGAGCTTACTTGCGGCAGATCATCTTCTCGGCGTTGTACTTGCGAGCAAGCGCCATGAGCGAGGGCTCGATGATTCCTCCTCGCAGCCGCAGCACCAAGTGCAGCGTCGACTCTGGTATGAGGGGGAAAGGGTGGGAGGGGCGGTGGAGGGTTGGGGGAGGGAGGGGGGCGAGAGGGGGGGGCGGAAGGGGAGAGGAGAGACTATTCTTGAGGCGCCTCAAAAATAGACTCCTCCGCACGCACACACATGAGCACCTGAGACACCATCACATACATGGAACACTCTGGTATCGCATGGTAGGGAGTGCGTGTAAGTGTGGGCGGGGTAGGTGGAGGTGCGTGGAAGTGTGGGTGCGTTTGGTGCGGGTGGGATGGGGTTGGGATGGGGGTGGGATGGGGGTGGGAGGAACGGGAGCATGCATGCACCACGGGGGCAGTGAAATCGAGCGCGGGTACAGGAGGTGACTTTTGAGTCGACTCAACCTTGGTGAAAATCGAAAAGAGGTGGGAAAGCGGAGAGGGAAGGAAAGAACGGGGGGGAGAGGGGGGAGGAGGGGGGGGGGGGGAGGAGAGGGGAGGTAAGAACCGGGGGGCGGGAGGAGGAGAGGGGAGAAAAGAGATGGAGAGGAAAGAAGACATCACAGGGAATGCTAAGAGAACAAATCTCAAGGCCAACGGAAATTTGAGAAGAGTGAAGACGAGGGGAAGGAGGGGAGAGCGAAACACTCCCCATCTCCATTCCCATCCCCATCCAAGTCCCCTCTTTTGAGGCGCCTCAAAAGTCATTCCCATCCCCATCCCCATCCAAGTCCCCTCGTTCTTCCCCTCGTTTTCCTCTCGCGAGTGGGAACGACGCGCTAGCCTCCCTCTCAATCGAGGGAAAAACAAAGGGAAAATGAGATCGAGATAGAGATAGAGATAGAGATAGAGGCAGAGACGGCGATAGAGAGAGATCACCAACCACACCTACCCTTCTGGATGTTGTAGTCAGCCAGCGTGCGGCCGTCCTCGAGCTGCTTGCCGGCGAAAATCAGCCGCTGCTGGTCGGGGGGGATGCCTGCAGCGAATAGAATAATGTGTGCATTTAAAGGCGGGTAAATGGGGGAGGAGGCAGGGGAGAGCGGGGGGAAGCGAGGGGGGAAGAAAAAGGAACGGTGAGCGGACGGACGCGGGCGCTTTTTGAGCGGAGCGGACTCAAAAATCATAAATGGGGGAGGAGGCAGGGGAGAGAGGGGGGAAGCGAGGAAGAAAAAGGGAAGGTGAGCGGACGCGGGCGCGGGCGCGGGCGCTAAGGGAAGCGGAGGTCGAAATGAGACACGCTCCATCACGGAGGTCGAATTGAGGTAGCTGAGCAAGGGCGTACGTTAACTACGTGGAGTAGCTAGGCCGGGACAACCTCCATAAGGCTAGTAGCGAAGCTGGGAACTTCACCGACGGAAGAGCAACCTCCAGTCGGACGTGAGCTAAACGGGGGGAAAGAAAACGCGTCACGGTCGATTGTAGAGCTTCCAGCTACCACGAATTATACATTCCAATGGAGGCTCCCCCCTCAAAGTGCTCCATTCCAATGGAGTAGAATGGAGACCTTCCCTCAAAGCCCCTACTCTAGCAGTTTGCTCGGCCCGTCTGTTCTTTGCTTTGACTCCCAGGACGACGGGCCGACGCGTCGCTGTCGAGAACTTTCGCTCAGGGGAAAGGCCGAGCAGCGTGCCTAGAGCATGCCGAGACAGCAACTTCTGTATACCCGCAGCCCAAGTGCCAATAAACGGACACAACCGAACCTGCAGTCTCGGGCCTCTAGGCAGCTAAAAAAAGGGCAGCTCAAAAAGCGACCAGCCGTCTCCAGGTTCGAGGCGCCTTGGAACGCGATCTGTCGTCTACAGAAACCTAGCAGATCACAAGAATATGCGGTTGTCCGATATCGTCACCATACTCGACGACTAGCAAAATTCGGCTAGGCAGGTAACCTCTAGCCACGCGTCAGCACGCGACTCTTCAGCGACGTTCTGACGCGAGACGAGCCAGGGATATAACAAGGGCCCATTACAGCGGATCTGTGAAGATCCGTTTAGAATAAACCAGTTGTGCTGAGAATAGTATAGGCGACGTCCCGACTCAACCTCGTTTACCTGGATCTTAGCCTTGACATTGTCGATGGTGTCGCTGGTGAGCTGGCAGTAAGGTCAGTATATATACATCTACTAAAGCGTTACTGTCAAACATTCCGCGACTCACCCTCCTTGTCCTGGATCTTGGCCTTGACATTGTCGATGGTGTCGCTGCTCTCCACCTCGAGCGTGATGGTCTTGCCCGTCAGGGTCTTCACGAAGATCTGCATCTTGGCTCACCGCTCAGCACCGCTTCTTACCTGCACGCACCGGAGAGAAAACCGTTACGACGACGCACAACACGATAAAAACAACCAACGTAACACGACCAGATTAACATGATATAAAAACGGCAATCCTTATGCCCCCGGTATCAAAGAAAGACGTTGGAGGAGATAAGGCAGGAGATGGAGCCAGACTAGGCTGCTAATTCACTAAAGAAAAAAAAACCCACAACTCGACCAAACCCTAAAAATACTAACCACGCGTAGGCGACGAAAACTTATATACTGCTTTAGAGTCTAACCGCACCTCGAAGACCTCAAATCTAGAATCCTAGATCGAACCGTCGCTGTCGTCGCAAGAGCTACAGCATAGAATAGTAGGCGGTCTAAAAATCTTACCTTAGGAAGGGGGATTGGAGGGAAACCAGGGAAGAGGAGGAAGAAAGTAGAGAGGGAGAAGAAAGGGAAGGAAGAAGGGGATGGGAGGGAAGGGGCTGTGACTGTAGAATATGTGACAACAGGGAAAATGTCTAAGGAGACTAGGGTTACGAAAGGGAGTCAAATGGCACGCTAACGGAAGGTTACTTACTGTAGGGAGCAGCTGCAGTGACCATGGACGTGTGGCCCTACACCCGGCTAAACCCTGAACCCGGAGCGTGGGTCTTGGAGAGGAGACCCAACTCGAATACGCGGGAGCGACTTTTGGGGATGCGCAGATGGCTGGAGATGCTGGGTTCGTTCGAGCACAACACATTGAACGATAATATATGTCGTAGACAAAAAATCCAAAGTTCTTAACCAAAAACATTTTGAACATGTATCACCCTGATTCCACACAAAAAAGATGGACTATTCTTGAAGGGATTTTCAGTAATCAAGGTGAAATTGATATCAACGTGCAAAGATAAGGTAGATCACATCGCACATCCTTCAAAAGATCACAATCACTGGCGAATTTCCTGGCTAATGGTATGCAGCGGCCTCTTCTTGAAGCTCCTTGATAAATTCAGCAATGGTCTTAGTGCCATGAACCACATTGTCTCTCGTTCGCACGTTCACCTGGGAAAGGGAGATACAAGCCCACAAACCGGAAAAGGAATGGGCCACCAAACAAGGAAATTGACGGCTGGCAACGTGCAAAGTGGTCATGTGTTGGCGGCTGGCGAGAAAAGAAGGGCGTAGAAAGAACCCACGAAGACCCGCAACAACTGGGACTTAGTCCCACCCACCACCACTAAGCAGTGACAACAACTTACAACACACAGTATCTTTCTCCCCATCCCTCCCAAACCCCATCAACTCACAGAGCCCTGAGCCTCTTCCTCTGCCCCCACCAGCAGGATGTAGTTGAACTGTGCCAGCTGGGCCTCCCACACCCGAGGTGCCGCATGCTCTGCTACCTCTCCCCTCTCTCCCTATCTCTCCCTCACCCTAAACCCAAGGACCCAGGAGCCTATTCACTCACCGAGCCCTGAACCTCCTCCTCTGCTCCCACCACCAGGATGTAGTTGAACTGAGCCAGCTGGGCCTCCCGCACCCGAGGTGTCTCATGCTCTGCCACCTCACCCCTCACGCTCGGCTCTCCCGACAACCCATAATCCCCGCCAAGTCACACCGAGCCCTGCGCCTCCTCTTCTGCTGTCATTACCCGAGCCAAGGTGGGCCTCCTCAACTGACCCAGCTAGGCTTCCCGCACCCGAGGTGTTGCATGTTCTGCTACCTCCCCCCTCTCTCTCAGCTCTCCCAACAACCCAGAACCCCATTCACTCACCGAGCCCTGCGCCTCCTCCTCCGCCCCCACCACCAGGATGTAGTTGAACTGAGCAAGCTGGGCCTCCCGCACCTGTGACAATAGCGAGTGTGACAATAGCCGATGTGACAACAACGGGTGTGACAAAATGAGGTGTGACAACAGGCAACACACAGTGCATGCAGAATGCATTGGCGTGAAGCGAAAATGGCAATTGTGTGTCTTTAACATGGAAGACGCATAACTGTGGATCAGCAAGAACTCCCTGCAATACAAGGCTGTAGTAGAGTAACCGGGCGACAAACCTTCTTCTGAAGCTTCCTGTCAGAAAGATCGGCCTCGACGTCGAAGCCAGCGGCATGGATCTCATCCCGCACCTGCAGCAGCCAAGGGGGAAGATGAGGGGAGAGCATGCGGCATAACGCACGAGAGGGGAAGATCAGAAGAGGTAAGTTGCAACAAGCCTCGAAGCCAAAGCCAGCGGCACAGATCTCATCCCACCCGCACCAGCAGCAGCCAAGGGGCATGGATGGGCTGAGTTGAGGGGGAATGGGAGTTGCACATACGACGGTGGAGCACAAGGGAGAAAGCCTTGCCTCTTCCACATCAAAGGCAGCAGCATAAATCTCACTGGCGTGGCACTCACACAGTGACCTGGCGAGGGCTGAGCCCGAGCAGCTATAACTGCTACAAGGTACCGAGTCATAATTCACGGTTTTCAACTTTACCTTGGTGGCGTATTCCGAGTACTTCTCAGAGACAGGGCAGACAGTCACTTGGCGGGGGCTCAGCCAGAAGGGCCACTTGCCCGCATAGTGCTCCAGGAGAATGGCAAACATGCGCTCCACTGAGCCCAGGATGGCACGGTGGATGATGACCTGGCAGGGGGCGAGAGAGAATGGGGGAAGGGAGAGGGAATTGAGGAGGTGCGAGGCAGAACAGGGACAGGGACTCAGCCAGAAGGGCCACTTGCCCCCGTAGTGCTCCAGGAGATTGGAAGCGGTGTGAGGCGCGAGACGCACACAGGGGCGCAGCCAGAAGGGCCACTTGCTCCTGTAGTGCTCCAGGAGATTGGAAGCGGTGTGAGGCGCAAGAGACACACAGGGGTGCAGCTAGAAGGGCCACTTGCCCCCTAGTGCTCCAGGAGGATGGCAAACATGCGCTCGACCGAGCCAAGGATGGCGCGATGAATGATGAGCTGAGGAAGGGAGGGGTGGGCAGGGATTGAGAGCGGTGTGCGGGGCGAGAGACACACGGTGTGAGAGCCTCAAAACTAGACTTCTATCACGAGGCGCCTCAAAACTAGACTTCTATCGCGAGTCGCCTCAAAACTAGACTTCTATCACGAGTCGCCTCAAAACTAGACTTCTATCACGAGGCGCCTCAAAACTAGACTTCTATCACGCGGTTTTTGAGGCGCCTCAAAACTAGACAGGATAGCACAATGAATGATGAGATGACCTGGAGGGGGGGGAGACTGACGAGGAGAGGACAAGTGCGAGCTTACACACGAGGACAGAGAGGTGTGTGTGTGAGGCACGAGAGACACAAGTGCTGCTCTGCCAGAGCAGGTGTGAGGCCACTTGCCTGCCACTTGCCACTTGAATCGGATGGGCCGCTGAAAGTAAAGCTGGATGGTCGCGGATCAACATCCAAGCCTTTGGTGACGTTTGAGTCGACTCAAAAGTCATTTGCCTGCCACTTGCCACTTGAATCGGATGGGCCGCTGAAAGTCAAGCTGGATGGTCGCGGATCAACATCCAAGCCTTTGTGTTAAGGCCGTGTGTTGAGACCATGAAGCTCCATGGCTCTGCACTCACCGCTCGCTTCCTGCCGGCAGCCTCATTATCAGCAGAATACTCCAGCTTGAAGCGGATGGGCAGCTGGAAGTCGAGCTGGATGGTGGCGCACTGGTGCTTGCTCCCAAGCCTCACAACGCCCAAGGTCTAGGGGCTTCCTGGTTTCGGGTTTAGAGTGACACTCACCGGTTGCTTCCGTCCCGCAGCTTCATCGTCAGCAGAGTACTCGATCTTGAAGCGGATGGGCAGCTGGAAGTCGAGCTGGATGGTGGCGCACTGGCTGGCAGTTCCTCCTCACCTCAAACCCAGAAGGAGAGGAGAGTACAGGAGAGGAGAGGCGAAACTCACCGCTCGCTTCCTGCCTGCAGCCTCATCATCAGCAGAATACTCCAGCTTGAAGCGGATGGGCAGTTGGAAGTCAAGCTGGATGGTGGCGCACTGGTGCTTCCTCTTGAGAGCATCGTACACCGTGATGTCGATCTTGGCTTTCAGAGAAGGGCGGTATTACGAGGAGGATCAACAGGAGGCGGGTTTTAGGGAAGGGTGGAGGGCAGAGCAGAAGAGAGGATAGTACGGCTTACCGGTCGCTGTAACGAGGTGACTTTTGAGTCGACTCAAAAGGCACCATCTGATGATACGTGCATGCACCACGGGGGAAGTGAAATCAAACGCGGGTACTTTTGAGTCGACTCAAAAGTCACCTCGGGAACATGCATGCACCACGGGGCAGTGAAATCGAACGCGGGAACAGGTGACTTTTGAGTCGACTCAAAAGTCACCTAGGGTGGAGAACAGATCAGAAGAGAGGATAATAGGGCTTACCGGTCGCTTCCTCCCGGCAGCCTCGTCATCAGCAGAGTATTCCAGCTTGAAGCGAATCGGCAGTTGGAAGTCCAGCTGGATGGTGGCGCACTGGTGCTTCCTCTTGAGCGCGTCGTACACCGTGATGTCGATCTTGGGGCCGTAGAACGCCCCGTCGCCCGCGTTGATCTGCCACGGCCGCCCGAAGGCGTTCAGCGACTTGGTCAGAGCGGCCTCGGCGCGATCCCACGTCTCGACCTCTCCCAGATGCTTTTCCGGGCGCTGGTTGGGGGGGAAGACAGGGGGAGGACGGGGAGGGGTGCAAGGCGGGGATGCAGGGACGAGGTTGATATGCCACTGCCACCCGAACATGTCTCCACCTCTCCCAAATGCTTCTCTGGGCGCTGGGTGGGGGGGAAGACGAGGGAAAGGTTGGGGGAAAGGTTGGGGGAAATACGGGGTGATTGGAGAGCGGCCGGAGGTCGAAGGTGAACCCAAGGATGCCGTAGACGGTCTTTAGGAAGTCAAGCACGTCGCTCACCTCCGCCTCCACCTCCAAGCCCGACCATTACTGGCACACCCGGTTCTATCACCAGACAGAGTACCTATCAATCAACTCACAGTGGACAGCTCCAGGTCGAAGGTGAACCCGAAGATGCCGTACACGGTCTGCAGGAAGTCGAGCACGTCGCTGACCTCGGTCTCCACACACACATCTCCCAGTCACACCCAGTAGTACTGCCGCAGGCAGATGATCAGCACTCACAGTGGACAGCTCCAGGTCGAAGGTAAACCCGAAGATCCCATACACGGTCTGCAGGAAGTCAAGCACATCGCTGACCTCGGCCTCCACACACACATCTCACTGTCACACCCAGTAGTACTGCCACAGGCAGATGATCAGGACTCACAGTGGACAGCTCCAGGTCGAAGGTGAACCCGAAGATCCCATACATGGTCTGCAGGAAGTCAAGCACATCGCTGACCTCGGCCTCCACACACACATCTCACTGTCACACCCAGTAGTACTGCCACAGGCAGATGATCAGGACTCACAGTGGACAGCTCCAGGTCGAAGGTGAACCCGAAGATCCCATACACGGTCTGCAGGAAGTCAAGCACGTCGCTGACCTCGGTCTCCACACACACATCTCCCAGTCACACCCAGTAGTACTGCCGCAGGCAGATGATCAGCACTCACAGTGGACAGCTCCAGGTCGAAGGTAAACCCGAAGATCCCATACACGGTCTGCAGGAAGTCAAGCACATCGCTGACCTCGGCCTCCACACACACATCTCACTGTCACACCCAGTAGTACTGCCACAGGCAGATGATCAGGACTCACAGTGGACAGCTCCAGGTCGAAGGTGAACCCGAAGATCCCATACATGGTCTGCAGGAAGTCAAGCACATCGCTGACCTCGGCCTCCACACACACATCTCACTGTCACACCCAGTAGTACTGCCACAGGCAGATGATCAGGACTCACAGTGGACAGCTCCAGGTCGAAGGTGAACCCGAAGATCCCATACACGGTCTGCAGGAAGTCAAGCACATCGCTGACCTCGGCCTCCACACACACATCTCACTGTCACACCCAGTAGTACTGCCACAGGCAGATGATCAGGACTCACAGTGGACAGCTCCAGGTCGAAGGTGAACCCGAAGATGCCGTACACGGTCTGTAGGAAGTCGAGCACGTCGCTCACTTCCGCCTCCACCTGCCCCTCCTCACAGAAAATATGGGCATCGTCCTGGTGAAGAGGGGGGAAAGGGAGAAGGAAATCAGAATGGGCGGGTATAAAGAGAACACCGCCCAAGCACGTCAGCTCACTTCCGCCTCCACCCGCCCCTCCGCACAGAAGATATGGGCGTCGTCCTGGTGGGAGCGAGAAGACAGGGAGGTCGACAGAAAGAGACAGGCCACAGGGGGAGAGACATCAGCTTTGGCGGGTCGACCCCCTCCCAAGAACAGGATGCCTGTCAAGCACGTCACTCACTTCCGCTTCCACCTGCCCCTCCGCACAGAAGATATGGGCGTCGTCCAGGAACACAGGGGGGGTGGGGAAGAGGTCAGGGGGGAAGGGGAGGGCCGGATGGACATTGGGTACCACAGGTAAGAGAACACCTCTCGAGCACGTCGCTCACTTCGGCCTCCACCTGCCTCTCCTCGCGGAAGAGGGGGGAAAGGGAAAGGGATATCAGAATTGGCGGGTCTAAGAGAACACCGCTCGAGCACGTTGCTGACATCCGCCTCCACCTGCCCCTCCTCGCAGATGTGGGCATCGTCCTGGTTGGAAGGGGAAGATGGGGAGGAGAAGAAGGGAGGATCCGAAAGGCAGGTGGGTAAAATAGCACCTCTCAAGCACGTTGCTCACGTCCGCTTCCACCTGCTTCTCCTCACAGCAAATATGGACCTGTCGTCTTGATTGGGATAATTGGCAGGGGGAGGACGGGGGGGTGGGGAAAGGACATCAGCGATGCTAAATGCAAGAGCACCAAAATTGACCCTACCTACCTAGTGCTCTCTAATGGGCAAGATAGAAGTCTAGTTTTGAGGCGCCTCAAAACCCTACCTACCTAGTGCTATCTAATGGGCAAGAGCACGGGGGGAGAACGGGGTGGTGGGGAAAGGACATCAGCGATGCTAAATGCGAGAGCTCCATTATGGACCCTACCCTACCTAGTGCTATCTGCGCACCAGGGATATACCTTCACCAGCTACCCCCTCACCTGTTGGAACCTGCGCACGCGCGTGAGACCAGTGAGGGCTCCACTGAGCTGCCACCTTACCTTTTGGCACAGGTACACCCCACCCCACCTATTACTACCTAGACACCAGACAAACCTTCATCAGCTACCCCCTCACCTGTTGGAACCTGCGCACGCGCGTGAGGCCAGTGAGGGCCCCACTGAGCTCGTTGCGGTGAAGCACCCCAAAGTCAGCAAAGCGGAGGGGGAGCTCTGTTGGGTAAGAGAGGAGGTATTGGGAGAAAGAACCAGGACTTGCGGTGCAGCACCCCAAAGTCAGCAAAGCGGAAGGGGAGCTCTGGTACAAGTGGGAGGAACCGGGAGTGTGTGTGTGTGTGCAGGGCGGCATGGGAAGGGGGGGGAACTTGGGGGAGGCCAGTGAGGGCCCCACTGAGCTCATTGCAGTGAAGCACCCCAACGTCAGAAAAGCGTCACCCACCGGTGGTGCGCGAACAAGAGGCAGTGGCCTGGGAAGTTCATGGGCTCATGGGCTTAGACCGTGTTAGGGTGTACGGCTTAGGGTATAAAGGTCCAAAACTCAACACCCACCTCGGTAGGAGCGCACGCGGTGCGCGAACACGAGGCAGTGGCCCGGGCAGTTCATGGGCTTTAAGTTTGCAGGCTGAAAGGCCAACATTAAACCCCCCAAAACACTCGACATTCTACTGAATCAACCATCTATCCCACAGTAAAAGAGTCACCTCGGGAGAAGCGCACTCGGTGGGCGAACATGAGGCAGTGGCCGGGGCAGTTCATGGGCTTTAGGCTTTAGGGTCTAGAGGGGAGCACCCCTCACCCCCACCTACTAGGGTTTCGGGGCAATGGGAGCATGCTCACCTCGGTAGGAGCGCACGCGGTGCGCGAACATGAGGCAGTGGCCCGGGCAGTTCATGGGCTTGAAGGTTGCAGGCTGAAAGGCCAACATTAAACCCCCCAAAACACTCGACATTCTACTGAATCAACCAGCTATCCCACAGTAAAATACTCACCTCGGGAGAAGCGCACGCGGTGCGCGAACATGAGGCAGTGGCCGGGGCAGTTCACGGGCTTTAGGCTTTAGGGTCTAGAGGGGAGCACCCCTCACCCCCACCTACTAGGGTTTCAGGGCAATGGGAGCATGCTCACCTCGGTAGGAGCGCACGCGGTGCGCGAACATGAGGCAGTGGCCGGGGCAGTTCATGGGCTTTAAGCCGAACTCCTGCTTCTCCACCTCAAAGACAAACATGTTCTCCTTGTAGTTGGCCGCATGGCCCGACACGTTCCACAGCTCCATGTTGAACATGTTGGGCGTCACGACCTGGGGGAATAAGGTAGAGAGACGAAGGGATAGAAGAGGAAGATGGGAGACCTTTATCAAGATGGGAGACCTTTATCAAGATGGGAGACCTTTATCAAGATGGGAGACCTTTATCAAGATGGGAGACCTTTATCAAGATGGGAGACCTTTATCAAGATGGGAGACTTTTATCAAGATGGGAGACTTTTATCAAGATGGGAGACACGTTCCACAGCTCCATGTTAAGCATGTTGGGCGTCACCACCTGATTGGGGGAAGGGGGATCGGGTTTAGTGAAGGCCGAAATGCTGCACGGCTCCGCGTGGCCCAAAACCCTGCCTTTCACACCCCATCATTCCCCTTCCCCCTCCCCCGCTTCACCCCATGCAGCAGTAAGCCGCCCACCTGCCTTTCACTCACACCCCATCATTCCCCTTCCCCCTCCCCCGCTTCACCCCATGCAGCAGTAAGCGCCTGCCTGCCTTTCACTCACACCCCATCCTCCCATCCTCCCATCCTCTCCACTCCCCATGGGGCATGGGGCACGCAGGACGAAGCAGCCTGCCTGCCCGCCTACCTGCCTGCCTGCCTGCCTGCCTGCCTGCCTGCCTGCCTTTCACAACCCATCCTCCCCCCTCCCCCTCCCATCCTTACCTCGTGGTATCCGCGCTTCCTGTACTCGCCCTTGATAAACGACACCAGCTTGTTGTAGATGCGCGCCCCATGGGGCAGGAAGAAGCAGCTCCCAGGGCTGCAGGGGGGGGGGGTTAGGGGAACAGTCAGAGAATTTTGAATGGGGCGTGATGTGACAGAATGGAAGATGCAGCTCCCGGGTCAGCCCAACCACGCGGTGGTCTGAACTTTGAACGTTTGCACAGATTCCAGACGTCTTAAACAAACGCCAAACCAAAGAAGCACACTGAACCATAGAAGAAAGAGAAAGGTACCTGAGCGGGTGGAAGAAGAAGAGATCTTGAGCGAGGCCAACTACGCGGTGGTCCCGTTTCTTGGCCTCCTCCAGCACGTGCAGGTACTCCTGAGAATGGGAGCAGGGCGCGAGACAAGAACGAGTGAAGGAAATGGATAGGGGAAAGAAGTGTGGAGTGGGGTGATAGCCAGCCAGCCAGCCCAATTTTATTTTGAGTCGCCTCAAAATACAACTCGAGTGACGAGAACGAGTGAAGGACATGGATAGGGGAAATGAAGGTGTGGAGTGGGGTGATAGCCAGCCAGCCAGCCCAATTTTATTTTGAGTCGCCTCAAAATACAACTCGAGTGACGAGAACGAGTGAAGGACATGGATAGGGGAAATGAAGGTGTGGAGTGGGGTGATAGCCAGCCAGCCAGCCCAATTTTATTTTGAGTCGCCTCAAAATACAACTCGAGTGACGAGAACGAGTGAAGGACATGGATAGGGGAAATGAAGGTGTGGAGTGGGGTGATAGCCAGCCAGCCAGCCCAATTTTATTTTGAGTCGCCTCAAAATACAACTCGAGTGACGAGAACGAGTGAAGGACATGGATAGGGGGAATGAAGGTGTGGAGTGGGGTGATAGCCAGCCAGCCAGCCCAATTTTATTTTGAGTCGCCTCAAAATACAACTCGAGTGACGAGAACGAGTGAAGGACATGGATAGGGGAAATGAAGGTGTGGAGTGGGGTGATAGCCAGCCAGGGATAGCCAGCCAGTGATAGCCAGCCAGCCAGCCCAATTTTGAGGCGCCTCAAAACCCAACCACGCGGGGCAATAGTTAAAATCAAACCCGACGGGTCGGGTTCTCCCAGCGGGGAACCTGACCCGACCCGTCTAAAGGTCGGGTTCGGATCGAATTGCCCGACCCCACCCGACCCTTTGCTCATGCATGCCTACCTCCCGATAGTCTTGACTCACTATAGGGTGACTCGCAAAAAGCAATTTCTCACCTTGAGCTGCTCGTTATCGGGGTACGAGATGCCGCATACTCGTTATAGTCTGACCCACTATAGGCTAGTTCTCACCTTGAGCTTCTTGCTATCCGGGTAAGAGATGCCGTACACTCGCTGCAAGCTCTCCCTGTCGGACTGGCCCCTCCAATACGACGCTGACGCCTGGCAATCGCAATTTGGCAGGGAGGGGCAAAGGAGGGTGTGAAAGGGGAGGGAGGCGGAAGGACGAAAAACGAGCCCAACACTGGCAATGCCCATCTCTGCCTGTCCGCCTGGCCCCTCCAATACGAGGCTGACGCCTGGCAACAGTTTGAGGGCAGGGGGTTGAGGGACGAGAATGGAGGATGTGGGGACTTCATGTGGAGTGAAAAAAAAAAAAAAAAAAAACCCTTTTCATGGGTCAGGTCAGGTTCCTCGTCAGTGGCAGCAGCAGCAGCAACACCCAGAATGAATGCATTCAAACCGCTTTGCACTCACCTTCAGGTGGACAAAAACCTTGAGATGGGTGGTGTGGTGCGGTGCTGGGGATGTGGAGTGGGGCCCATAAAGCTGGTTACAATCCCTCCCAGCCCCTTCTAAACCCCTCTCGACTGCTCTGCACCCACCTTGAGGCAGGCAAAGGCCTTGACATGGGCGGTGCTGGGGATGTGGGGCCCGCGGCACAGGTCGACCAAGGGGCCACACCGATAGACCGTGATGGTCTTGTCATCTGGCAACTCCTTGATGATCTCCACCTGACTCGGGGTTGAGAAGTTGAAAAATGAAGGATGCGAGGTTGAGGGATTAGGGTTTCGGACTGCACAAGGCTATGCACAGGTCGACCAAGGGCCCGCAGCGGTACACCGTGTCTTATCATCTGGCAACTCCTTCCTTGATGATCTCCACCTGATGGAAACAGGGGTTTAGGGGATGGGGATGAGGGATGTGGAATGGATGTGGCCCCGCCGCCGCACAGGTTGTCCAAGGGCTGACAGCGGCACACAGTGATGGTCTTATCATCTTCAACTCCTTGATCATCTCCACCTGGTGGAAATCAGGGTACAGGGTTCAGGGGATATAAATGGGATGTGGTCGACCAAGGGCCCACAGCGGTACACTGTGGTGGTCTTATCATCTGGCAACTCCTTGATCATCTCCACCTGATAAACGCACGGTTTGGGGTTCAAAGAGCAGGGTTTAGGTCAAGGCAAGGGAAAGCATGGAGCATGCAAGGCACAGGTCAACCAAGGGCCCACAGCGATAGACCGTGATGGTCTTGTCACCCGGCAAATGATCTCCACCTGATGGGGGCGGATATGAACGGCTTGAAGACGAGGGTTTACTCCATGGGACAGCACATGCGAGCAAGCGATGCACAGATAGGAAGCTCTTTTATAGTTTACGATCTTATCAACTCACCGTGAACGGTTATCAGCAAACATCAGCGCCTGCTGCCTCGTGACCTCGATCCTCTCAAGCGCCTGCTTCTCCTCCGCAGCGTTGCCCATCTCACCACTCTTGGTAGGCTATCATCGGACTGTTAGCGGTTCACCTTGAACGGGTTATCAGCGAACATCTCCAGCGCCTGTTGCTGCGTGACCTTGATACGACTGCCTCTCCTTCACAGCCTTGCCCACCTCACCCCTCTCAATGGGCTATCATCTGGCTGTTAATGACTTATCATCTCACCTTGAACGGGTTATCACCTCACCGTGAAGGGGTTATCAGCAAACATCTCCAGCGCCTGCTGCCGCGTGAGTCGTGACCTCAATCCGCTCAAACGTGGCAGCCTTGGCTGCCCACATTGCCTTGACTGCCAACACTGGATAGGTTATCATTTGACTGTCAAGCGTTTATCCACTCACCTTGAACAGCCTATCACCTCACCTTGAACGGGTTATCAGCAAACATCTCCAGCGCCTGCCGCCACAACACTTTGATGCGCTCAAACGCCTGCTTCTCCTTCGCAGCCTTGCTCGCCTCACCACTCTCAATAGGTTATCATCTGACTGTTAACGGGTTATCATCTCACCTTGAACGGGTTATCAGCGAACATCTCCAGCGCCTGCTGTCATGTCACTTCGATGCGCTCAAATACCTGCTTCTCCTTCACAGCCTTGCCCGCCTTGGCCCTTGACCTTACTCAACAGGCTATCATTTGCCTCTTAACCGCTTATCATCGGCCTGTTAGCCACATATCATCTCACCTTGAACGGGTTATCAGCAAACATCTCCAGCGCCTGCTGCCTCGTGACTTCGATGCGTTCGAATGCCTGCTTCTCCTTCGCAGCCTTGCCCGCCTTGGATTCAATGGCCTTGAAGTGCTCATCATTCAACGTGCGGTCACCGTAGAAGGCATCGTAGTAGAAACCCTGTTATGGGGAGGGGAAGGGGGGGGAGGGGGAAGAAACTACATAAGCCTTGCCCGCCTTGGCCTCAATGGCCTTGAAGTGCTCATCGTTCAGCGCATGATCCGTGTGTTATGAGTCGACTCCGTGTGTAATGAGTCGATTTTTTAGTCGACTCAAAAATCGACTCATTACACACGTGTAAAACGCGTCATAATAGAAACCCTGGAGTAGAGGGGGGAATGGAACCACATAAGCCCTGCCCCCATTGATAGCAGCCTTGCCAGCCTTGGCTTGTATAGCCTTGAAGTGCTCGCCGTTGAGCGTGCGATCGCCATAGAATGCATCGTAGTAGAAGCCCTGTCATGGGGGGAGGTTGAGGAGAGGGGGGAGAACTAGTACCACGTCAGCCTTGCCCGCCTTGGCCTCAATGGCCTTGAAGTGCTCGGCGTTCAGCGTGCGATCACCGTGGAATGCATCGTAGAAGGAACCCTGGAGTAGAGGGACGGATGGAACCACATAACCCCTGCCCCAATTGATAGCAGCCTTGCCCGCCCTGGCCTCTATAGCCTTGGAAGTGCTCGTCGTTCAGCATGGAATGGAAGGCATCGTAGTAGAAACTCTGTCATGGTGGAGGGGAAAGGGGGGAAGGGGAGGGAATACAACCCTAGTGTGCGGGAGGTGAGCGAATGAGAGTGCTCGCCGTTCAGCAGCCAATCGCCGTTCAGCGGCCAATCGCCGCAGAGTGCGAAGCAGATCCACCACTACATATCCATCTCTCACTCTCCCTCTCCCTCCCTTACCCTCCCACCACCCCCTTCCCTATTCCCCCTCTCTCGCCCCTCACCTCTCCTCGACTGGTGCACGGCGCCAAATACAGAAGCGGCACCCGTGCTCCCTCTCCTTCCTTCCCTTCCCGTCCCATCCACCCGTCGCCTCTCCTGCCCTTCTGTTCCCCACCTTTCTTCCATGCCTCACTCCCCCACCCTCCATCGCTCCCCCCTCACCTCTCCTCGAGTGGTGCACGGCCCAATGCAGAGGTGGCATCCGTACTCCTGCTCCAGAGCCTGTCGAAACGAAATAAACAGGGACAATATAAAAAATGCGTTATTTCATACGGCAGAAAAACAGAGAGGGTGGATTCAAAAGAAGGATCCGTCCGCAGCCCAGATAACCTGAAAATGCTTATAACGCGTACCTCTCCGAGGATGTGAGCGCTGGAGTGCCAGAAGGTGTCCCGGCCCTCATCATCCTCAAAAGTGAACAGCTGCAGCGAGCAGTCTCCCTCCAAGGGCCGGCACATGTCCCACAACACGCCATCGACCTGAAGGGAAGGGACAGGAAAACAGCTCGTTCGATCATATGATTTGCTATGAGGGAGTATCCTCCACACGTGAACAGCTGTAGCGAGCAGTCTCCTTCCAAGGGACGGACGGCACATATCCCACACAACGCCGCCGGCCTGAAGGGACGGGGCAAAGAAAACGGCTGGCTTGATCATCCAAACGAGGGAGTATCTTGATTCCTCCACACGTGGAGATGATGGCAATGTTGCCAAGGCCTTGTGGAATGCCCTTGGCGACATCCATGGGGAAGGTGGCCCGCTTGGATAAGAAACAAATAGAGGAAAGTACACTTCATCAGCTGGCATAAAAAACAATCTACTAGGGAGAGAATAGAGAACACGGCACCTTGGAAATGACGGCGCTGTTGGCCAGCCCCTGCGAGATGCACTTAGCGACATGCATGGGGGAGGTTTCCGACTTCTCGCCCTCCTCCACAGCACAGTCACTTCTGCTTTATACTCAACTCCCAAGCCTACACACCTTGGAAGTAATGGCGCTGTTGGCCAGCCCCTGCGAGATCCCTTTGCCGACATCCATGGGGGAGGTGGCCCACCTCTTGCCCTCCTTCACAGCACCGTCCCCCGCGAGCCTGATTCTGAGTCAACTCAGAAGATCATTCTAGAGTGAACTCTATAAACCTGTTCACCTAAGGAACAATGGCGCTGTTGGCAAGCCCCTGGAGAATCCCCTTAGCGACATCCATGGGGGAGGTGGCCCACTTCTTGCCCTCCTTCACAGCACCGCCAACGGTCAACTCAGAGGTCGAACCCCGTCTCCTCTCACCTTAGAAATAATGGCGCTGTTGGCCAGCCCCTGCGAGATGCCCTTGGCGACGTCCATGGGGGAGGTTTCCCACTTCTTGCCCTCCTTCACAGCACCGTCGGGCAGAGTGATCCTGGCGAATGTGACACAAACGGGGGGAAAACGAGACGGTCCTGGTTACTAAACGGAACGCCTTAAACCCTCCGACACAAGAAACATCACTCAAGGACCCCCCTCAGCATTGTTGATCCCAAAAAGACCCAAAAATTACCCCAACGCAGCGCTAGATATACGCGAAGCCTGAGCTACTGGTTCCCATTCGCCCTTCGAGATATTACACCAATGTCGCGAATATTCGCGAAAACGGACTGGTTACAGCCGGCTAACGTTGCGAGCAAGCCAGTTGTCGCAGATTCACTTCTCCACTCTGTCAATCGCCACCACCTGAATCGCTACCACCTTGCATTCTCCTCCGGCCTATGTCTCACCCAACGCTAGTCACGCTGCGAGCTTACTTGATCGGATCGCCAGCAATCTTCTGTCTCGCCGCGGCCCGCTCCTTCGGAACGTCTACCACCCTGCATATTCCTCCGACCTACGCGGAAACCCGAATCCAGTCACGCAGCGATCTTACTTGATTGGATCACCCGCGATCTTCTCTCGCGCCGCGGCCTGCTCCTTCTGAAGCGCCTCGAACATCTCGATCCTCCGCTTAAAGAACGCCTGGATTTCCGGCGCGATCTTCGCCGCTTCTTTCGCCGCGGCAGCCGCAGCAGCGGCGGCTTTGTCTGCGCCCTTGTCGCCAACCTTCGCTTTAGCGGGTTTCGCGGAAGCAGCAGCGTCGGCAGCTGGCGGGTTGTCCGTCAGCGAGGAGTCAGCCAGCTTCTCGGCCACGTCATTCGGACTCATTTTGACGTGTCAGTGAAACGGGGTTGCGTAACCAGTACCCTGAAGCTAAAGAACGCGAGGCGAGGAAGAGAAGCTGGCTCGGCGATTAACCAGACACTGCAACGATCAAAGGCCGACTCGGTGGTTTCGCAAGGCTGCCAATAAAGACTAGCAGCACACGCCAAAGAACGATAAGACAGGCCAACACAGGCTACCACTAACCTGACAAAATGGTAAGAGCCTGATCAGGAGCCAGTCTAGAAAGGGGAATCTGATTTTGATGGCTGCGAGTCTTGTATGGGTCGGTTCGGGGGACGTAGGGAATACCGCGCAGAATGGGGAGACAGGGAGGGGGGGGCGGGGGGAGGTGGGGGGATAGGGGATACGCGCAGGTTGCGGAGGGGGGTGGGGGAACGGGGGGATGGGGGGAGGGGGAAGCAGACAGGCGAAATATGAACTGATCGCGCGCAGCCACCTTGGGGTTGACGCGATTCTGTTTCGCGAGCGCCTAACGAAAGGGGGATAACAGTCGCTGAGGGCGCGACATTAAGCCACTGAATCGCCGAGTCACCTTGGTTACAGAGTCCTCGCCAGAGTCGTCGCGATCATCGCAGAAACATTCTTCGATAACGTAAAACTCTGCATAACTCGGAAAGATTCATAACTGTAAGGAAATGGTATTTCCTTATCACAGGTTTCAGTCAGAAAGGCCTACACTGCTATAACGGGGTTGCCACCGCGCAGCTCTGCCACGAAATTCAAATCTCAGCTCCAAATGTGGCCTCCTGACGAGCCACATGCATTGTTGCCCGCCTTGCTGTGGCATGCCTAGATCTGAGCGCTTCACGCCAATTTACGAGCCACACGTCGCAGACTCGCAGCTCTGCCGAGCCACGACCGTGTGCTCTAGGCTAGCTATATCCATGCTCCCTGCTGTTTTGATGTTACCTCAGTTGTATAGTTTCCTCGTTAATCAATCCTTCGACACACAACCTTTGCGCTTCATCACAATAACCCTCATTCAACTGTGTAAAACAAATACCACTCGAGGTCTAAACATACAACCCATTTATAAGAGAAAGCTCCAACCACATCTGAGTGACTAAAAAACGACGGGGAAATCAAGCCCATGATGGCAACAACAAGGTCACCACTCAGCATAACGCAGTTCATGGTTTGGGCACAAGCGGCCAGGGGTAGCCCTTAGCCCAGTCATGTCCCTTGGGCAGGCCATCCAAGCACTGATGATAGCAGGGAGAGGAGGGGAGAAAGGGGGGGGGGGGGGGGGGGGGGGGGAAGGAGGAGAGAGGGGGAGGGTGGGGAAAAAGGACGGACATCATGGAATTTTAGGATAATGGTACAGAAAGGGGAACCGTTGCGCCAAGCCTGGAAAGGAACATCAGCATGTGAGGCTTGAGCACAACCGTGCCTGGAGAGCACAGTACCTGGAAAGGAACAAAGTTCTTTGCATCAACCCGAAGATATGCACAGTACCCCAGCCATGCACAGTACCTGTAAAGGGATGAAGTTCCAGCAGGCGAAGCTCAAGCATAACCATACCTGGTAAGGAGTGTTGGCAAGTGAGGCTCGGGCATAACCGCACCTGAAAAGGAATGAAGTTCCGCCAGTAGCGGTACCCCTTCTTGGGCGGCGGCGGCGGATTCCCCGTGATCTGTACAAAATCCGATACGATTTCCGCAGGCGGGATCATCACCATCACTCCCGGCACCCCCGGATGCCGGAACCCAGGCACTCCCACCCCTGCTCCTTTCCTCCCGCCCCTAGAACTCGCATTATGCCCGCCACCAGCACCAGCACCGGCAGAAGCAGCGGCGGCAGTGGCAGCGGCAGCAGCAGCGGCAGCAGCAGCACCAGCCACCCATCCGAGATCCATGGATCGCCAGGTGCGCTTCTCCACCCTCTCTGCTATTCTCGAGCTTCGCCTTCTCTTTGGCACTGACCCTGGCGCCCCTCCCAGTGCTGCTCCCCCTGCTGCTCCTGCTGCTGCAGCAGTAGCAGAGGGGGAAGAATTCGCAGATGCTCCTATTCCTGTTGCTCCTAGTCCCCCGGCTGCTACTCCTAAGAACCACGCAGACCCTAACAATCCACCCATCCCTGCACCTCCCCCCTGTCCCTCCTCCTCTCCCATCCCCATCCCATCCATCCCGTCCACCTCGTCCTCGTCGTCCTCCTCCTCCTCTTCCTCCTCTCCATTGCCATATTCCCCGAACCTCCTCCGCCGTTTCCGAGCCTCTTTCCGCCTCATCCGAGCCTGCCCTTCCCGGTAATCCCCCGGGAAATCCTCATCCGAACTAGCATCATCGTCCCTCCTCCCCTTCCCTTCCTCCCTTTCCTCCTCTTCCTTCACTTCCTCTCTCTTACCCTTCCCCCTCTCAGTCTTCTCCTCCTCTCCACCTTCTCTCTCCCTCTCCTGTCCCCAAGCATCTCCACCCCCCTCCTCTACCTCCCCTGTCCCATCTCTTCTTGCTTCCTCTGCCCCCTGCTCCTTCGCTCCTCCTCTCCTCCGCTCCTCATCCCCCTCCCCCTCCCCAAACTCTGATTGTCTTCCTGGCGGCCGTTTGGCAAGCACAGCACAAAGCCCCACATCCACTAGCCGTTTCTCCCGCTCTCTCTCCTTCTCCTTCTCTCTTACCTCCTCTTTTTCCTTCTCCATCTCGCTCACAATCCCCGTCTGTTTAGCCTTCTCCTTCTCGCGCGCCCTCTCCTTCTCTCCCCTTTCCTTCTCGCGCTCCCTCTCCTCCTCGCGCTCCCTCTCCTTCCTCTCCTTGTCCCTCTTCCTCTCTTTCTCTCCTCTCTCCTTCTCCACCTCCCTTCGTTGTTGATCCCCTGATGCCACACTTCCCGTCACTCCTGCTGCTACACAAGCACCTTCACCTACTCCTGCTCCTCCTGCTGCTGCTCCTACTCCTGCTCCTGCCCCTGCTATCCTCACCCTCCCCTCCTCCACAACCACCCTACCCTCCATCCTCTCTTCCCCTCCCTCCACTCTCCCATGCTTCTTCATTTTCCTTTCCCTCTTCTCATCCCTTTCATGCTTCCCTTCCCTCTTGCTCTCCCCTTTCCCTTCCTTCCTCCCCTCACTCTTCTCCTCCCCTTTCCCCTCCCCTCTCCCCTCCCGATCCCTCTCATGCTTCTTCTTCTTCTTCCTCCCCTCCTTCTCCTTCCTCCCACCGCCAACCCCTTCCACTTCCTTGTCTCTCTTCCCCACTCCTCCTGCTACGAATCCCACATCCTCCCCTTCTCCTCCCCCCTTCATACCGCCCCCATTAGTCCTCCTAAAATCTGGTTCTAGCCCCCTCTTCATATCCTCGCTATAAGCTGCCTCCACACCAGGCAACACGCTAGACATACCCCCCTCCTCAATATCCCCTACAGTAGCCCTCCCAATACTATCAATCTGCATTCCAACTACAGCCGTGGAAGCAAAACCACCAGAAGCAGCACCAGGAGCAGGAGGAGCAGCAGCAGCAGCAGCAGCAGCGGCGGCGGCGGCAAAAAAGCCTACCGCTCCTCGTGCCTTATCCTCTCGAGCTGCTCCTGCCTCCACTGCTGTCAAAGCAGCCATTCTAGCCTCCCCAATCCCACGCTCATGCTCCTGCTCCTGCTGCTGATGGTGATGGTGATGCTTGGGAACCGGGGGCTTTAAGGTAGGATGGAGCAGCGACAAAGGGAGGGACAAGAGTGGGTTCGAACCCTGCCAGCCGCTCTCCCTCTCTTTGCACGACACACCGTTTCGATCATTTTGATCATTTCGATCATTTCGATCATTTCGATCATTTTGATGATTTTGATCATTTTGATCACTTCTATCATTCCGATCATTCTGATCAGTAGACAACAGACCATCTTGGTTGCCCCGTTCTGCTGCAGCCAAAGGCAGCGCTGCCAGACCAACCTGCCCATCCAAGACATTTCCGGGCGATTCTCGCATCGAGTCAAGAGGACGCACCAATTCAGGAGGGAGCCCCATGCCCCTGCTGCTGTTGCTCTGAGACGGCAGCTCCTCAGAAGGCTCTTCTGCAAGTGGCAGCAGTTTGTTGGCGCCTGCTGGTGCTACTCCAATCCACCCATTCGCTTCTAGCTTCCTGCACAATTGGGACGGACAGGAAGAGGGAGGTAAGCATACATCTGAGTCGGCAGCTCCTCACAAGGCTCTTCTGCAAGTGGCAGCAGTTTGTTGGCGCCTGCTGGTGCCGCTCCGATCCACCCATTCGCCTCTAGCTTTCTGCACAGTGGGAAGAGCAGGGAGGGGGAAATGAGGGTACATCTGAGTCAGCAGCTCCTCAGAGGGCTCTTCTGCAAGGGGCAGCAGTTCGTTGGCGCCTGCTGGTGCCACTCCGATCCACCCGTTTACCTCTAGCTTCCTGGGGAATTGGGAAGGGCAGGGAGGGTGCATCTGAGTCGACCCGTTTGCCTCTGTCTAATACTTCTGGGGCGATTGGGAAAGGCAGGAAGGGTAAGAAAGTGTGAAATTAGCTTCCTGGGTGATTGCCCGGTTATCGCCCGGAAATCCAAAAGTCTGCCTCTACCTCCTAAGGAGTAAGAGAGATGGTCACACACTAGCAGGCAAGGCACACCTGAGAGACTCACCGAAGGAACATGCACGCACCTTCGCTTCTTTTAGGGTAGTTGTGGCGGCACTTGCCCTGTGATGGCTCTGAAGTCTGCCTCTACCTCCTCAGGAGTGAGAGATGGACACACGCGGGGGCGGGCCGGGAGAGATAGTAGGGGAGAGGAGCGGTGAACCCGTTAGGATAGCATCAGGATAGGTCGACTCACCTTCGCTTCTTCAGAGGCAGTTGTGGCGGTGGTTGACCTGTGATCGCCCGAAAGTCCGCCTCTACCTCCTCAGGAGTAAGCGAGATGGCCACACGGAAAGGAGGCGGCAGCACGGGGGGGAACAGGTCGAGTGCAGGGGGGTTTTGAGCCAGCTCTTGACCCAAAGGCGGGGATAAGTGGAGTGCTGGTTGCTTTGCAGCCAGCTCTAGAGTCCCAAGGGAAGAGAGGCCAGGAGAAGGTCTGGCAGATGGGGGGTCGGCGGGAGGAGGGAGAGCGTGCGGAGGAGGAGGAGAGGGTGTGGAAATGGCAGGGTGGGAGGAGGAGGGATGGGCGGAGGAGGAGGGGAGTGAGAAGGGAGGAGGAGGCGTGTTCCCTGGGAAAAGGATGATTTTCCGTGAATCATTGGCTGTCGATTCAGCTGCTGCTGCTGCTGCTGCTGCCGGCGGTGCTGCTGCTGGTGGTTCCACCGCTGTTCGAACAGCTGGTGCTGCTGCTGTTGATTCAGCTGCTGCTGCTGCTACTGCTGGTTCTCCTGCTGATCTTGTCAGGGTGGTTTCCCCTTGTGCAACTCCTTCACCTTGTGGTACGCCTGCTGCTGTACCAGGAGAGGTGGTGGCTGTAGCAGGAAACCTGGCGGCTGTAGCAGGAGAGGTGGCGGCTGTAGCGGGAGATTTGGCGGCTGTAGCTGGAGGTTTGGCAGCTGTAGCGGGAGATTTGGCGGCTGTAGCGGGAGGTTTGGCAGCTGTAGCGGGAAGAGGAGGAGTTGTGGCAGGGGGAGTGGGAGTGGGAGATGCAGCAGGGAGACTGGTGGTAGACGTAGCAGGAGCAGTGGTGGTTGTAGCAGGGGAAATCACGGATGTAGCCCGAAAAATGGGAGATGCACCAGGAGTGGCAGCTGTAGCAGGGAGACTGATGGGAGTAGCAGCAGGGGAGATGGCGGCTGTAGCAGGAACAGCGGGAGATGTGGCAGGGGGGGTGCGGGTTGTCGCAGGGAGTCTGATGGGAGTTGTAGCAAGGGAGATGGTGGTTGTCGCAGGGGAAATAGCGGCTGTAGCGGGGGCAATGGCTCCCGTAGCAGGCGGAACGGTAGCTGTAGCAGGGGGAGTAATAGATGGAGCAAGGGCAGTGGCGGTTGTAGCAGGGGGAGCAGCAGCTGTCGCAGGAATGGAGGCGGCTGTAGCAGCGGGGTGGGGAGATGTAACAGGTAGAGTGTGAGATGCAGCAGAGATAATGGGGGAAGGTGTGGCAAGGGCAGTGGCTTCAGCAGGAGGGAGCCTGGTGGCTGTAGCAGGGGGAGTGGGAGCCGGGGGGGTTGCGGCTGTAGCGGGGGGGATGGCTGGCCTAGTGCCATGAGGAGCCTGAGTTATGGTGGGTGTGATGTCTGGAGCCGAAACACCTGTAGCAGCATTATTATTGGTGGCAGCTTTACTCGGAGCAACACTTGTAGCAGCAGCAGCAGCAGTGGCGGTGGTACCTTTAACAGCAATAACATCCGTATGAGGGGCAGTGGTGTTGGCGGCTTTAGAATCAGTGACATCTCCAGCAGCAGCAGTGGTGGTGGTGGCATTTGTAGCAGTAATACCTGCTGTTGCAGCAGCAGCAGTAGCAGTGGCGGCGGCAGCAGCAGGAGCAGTGGTGGTGGTGGCTTTGGAAACAATAACATCTGTACGAGGGGCGGTGTTGGCGGCTGTAGCAGCAGCAGCAGCAGTGGTGGTGGTGGCTTTGGCAGTGATAAAATCTGTGCGGGTGGCAGGGGTGTTGCTGGCGACTGAAGCTGCTGCTTTTGGAATGGAAGTTGTAGCAGCAACATCTGTAGCAACAAAATCAGCAGAAGCACCATCTGTAGCAGTGACATCTGTAGCAGTGACATCTATAGCAGTAACAGGTGTAGCCATTGCTGTTGATAAGCAATCAGCAGCTCTTACTGAAGTTGGAAAGATCGCGGCAGAAGCAGCACCAGTGGCAGCCGCAGCAGCAGCTGTAGCAGCTGCAGCTGTAGCAGCTGCAGCTGTAGCAACAGCAGCAGCTGTGGAGGCTGTAGTAACGGTCTTAGCTGTCGCTGCTGCAGGTGTCAAGATACCCACCCTCTTCACTAAACCACTCCCTGCACCAGCTGTGGCGGCAGTAGTGGATGTAGCAGCTGTAGCAGCTCTAGCACCAGCATCAGCAGCATCTGGTGCAGCAGCAGAAAGGCTAGGAGCAGCAGCTGCTGTAGCATCCTTTGTAGCAGCAGCTGCTGTAGCATCCTTTGTAGCAGCAGCTGCTCTAGCATCCTTTGTAGCAGCAGCTGCTGTAGCATCCTTTGTAGCAGCAGCTGCTCTAGCATCCTTTGTAGCAGCAGCTGCTCTAGCATCCTTTGTAGCAGCAGAAGCTGTAGCATCCTTTGTAGCAGCAGCTTGCTTAACCGCACCACTTGCAGCAGCAGTGACTGTTCTACCATTTCCTGCTGCAGCATAGGCCCCCCCGTCAGAGGATAAAATGCTGTCTGCTGTAACATCTGCAGAAGCATTTCCCGCAGCTTTATCATGTGCAGCAGCATCAGCCCCCCCGTTAGAGGATAAAATTTTGGCTGCCGCAACAGCTGCAGCAGTCTTGCCCACAGTCTCCCCCTGTGCTACAGCTGCTGCGATTGGTACACTGGGCAGCGATGCTACAGCTGGTGATGATGGTGCCGATGCTACAGCCGACACTGATGCTACTGCCGGTGCAGATGCTGCCAACGGCAATGATATTGCCGTGGAAGGATTTGATTCTGTCAGACTGAGCTCAGCAGGAGATTTGGCAGCAGCACCACCAGAAACAGCAGGAGCAGAGGCAGCAGGAGGAGCAGCGGCAGGAAGAGCAGTAGAATGAGGATTTTCTAGAGTAGGAGCAGCACCAGAGGCAGCGGGAGCACTAGGAAGAGCAGGAGGAGCAGCACTCCCAGAGGTAGCAGGAGCAGGAACAGAAGCAGGGGCCGGAGGAGGAGCAGCAGGAGCGGCGGCAGCAGCAGCAGCAGGAGGAGGAGAAAGAGCGGAAGCAGTAGGAGCAGTAGCAGCATTAGCAATAGGAGCGGAAGCAGCAGGAGCAGAACCAGTAGGAGGAGCAGTAGGAGCAGAAGCAGAAGGAGGAGCAGGAGGAGAAGCAGGAGGAGGGGCAGGAGGAGGAGCAGGAGGAGGAGCAGCATAAACATTCACAGGAGTGGGAACAGCGGATTCGGGACCAGACTTCAAGGCTCCAGCTGCGGTGGGGGATTGAGCAGATAAGGCAGCAGCAGGAGCAATGGCAGGAGCTGGGGTACGGGCAGGGGCAGGGGCAGGGACAGGTGCAGCAGCAGAGGCAGCAGCAGGGGCATCTGCTTCAGCTGTAGCAGTGGCAGGGGTTGCAGCTGTAGCAGGGGTTGCAGCTGTAGCGCGGGGTGCAACTGTAGCGCAGGTTGCAGCTGTAGCAGGGGTTTCGGCTGTAGCAGCTACTGCATGGGTGGGAGGTGCAACAACAGGGACAGCAGCAGGCCCGCGGGTCGCCACAATGGGATCACCAGCAGGAGCAGCAGGAGCAGCAGTGCGAGCAGGAGCAGCAGGAGCAGTAGTGCCAGCAGGAGCAGCAGGAGCAGTAGTGCCAGCAGGAGCAGCAGGAGCAGTAGTGCCAGCAGGAGCAGCAGGAGCAGTAGTGCCAGCAGGAGCAGCAGTGCCAGCAGGAGAAGCAGGAGCAGTAGTGCCAGCAGGTGCAGTGGTAGTTACTGGAACAGCAGTACCAGTAGCAGCCGGAGCAGAAGCAGCCGGAGCAGAAGCAGCCGGAGCAGAAGCAGCCGGAGCAGAAGCAGCCGGAGCAGAAGCAGCCGGAGCAGAAGCAGCAGAAGCAGAAGCAGCCAGAGCAGAAGCAGCCGGAGCAGAATCAGAGGCAGCAGAAGCAATAGCAGCAGCAGTAGCAGCGGCAGCAGAAGCAGAGGCGGCAGCAAAAGAGGCAGCAGTCGCAGTGGCGGCAGTAGCAGCGGCAGCAGCAGCAGCAATCACAGGAGAAGCAGGAGCAGCAGCAACAGCACCAGCACCAGCAGCACTTTCGCCAGCCTTCTCACCACCCTCCTTCGCCCCCTCCTCCCTCATTCCCACGTCTACCATCGCCACATCCCCACCCACCTTTCCTTCCAATCCCCCCACCTCCTCTTCTCCCCCCTCCTCTCCTCTCCCCTTAATCCCTCCCTTTCCCTTCTCCCCTTCTTTCACACGCCCTGTCTCTCCTGCTGCTGCCACCCCTTCCACCACTTCGTCTTTACTCACACCTTCGTTTATACCACCCTTCACCCCCGCGACTTGCGCCTCTTGCTGCCCCTCACCACCCGAGCTCGTTTCTCTTAGACGGTCTTCATCATGCTCCTTGCTCCCTCTCCCCTCCTCCTTCCTCTCCTCCCTTTGCCGCTCGTCCTCTTTCCGTCCTCTTCTTTCCTTACTCGCTTCCCCTTCCCCGTCCCTTAGCCTCTGAAGCTCCTCTCTCGGGTTGCTCTCTCTGCTCGTGCTTGCCTGAAGCTCCTCTCTTGTGCCACACGACAACTCACCCTGCCTCTTGGCATCAGCAGCATCCGATCCAAGCACCAAAAGCTTTTGAGTCGACTCAAAGGCAGGCTCTCTTGTGACACACGACAACTCACCCCGCCTCATGGCATCATCAGCGGTATCCACTCCAAGCACCAGAAGCTCACTCTCCCTTCTTTGGATCGCGTATCGAGGCGTGGCAGCACACTTTTGTCCAATTACTGCCTCCTCCCCATCGCCATCACAGCAGAATTTCTTCTCATTGTGCTCAGCTGTCACTAGTTGCATTTTCTCCTCTGCTTTCTCCCCTGCTTTCTCCTCTGCTTTCCCCTCCGCTGTCTTATCGGGTTTCTCCTCTGCATCCTCCCCGGCTTTCCCCTCCGCTTTCTCCTCTAGTTTACCCGCCGCGTTCTTATCTGCTTTCTCCTTTGATTCCCTCCCTGCTTTCCCCTCCGCTTTCTCCTCTGGATGCTCCATCGCAGTCTGCTTTTGAGTCGACTCAAAAGCAGACTCTGGCTTCTCCCTTGCAGTCTCCTCTGCTTTCTCCTCCTCTTCCCTCGCCGTCTTTCCCCTCCCTACCTTTCCCCCCCCTTTCTCTTCTCTCTTCCCTCCCTCCCTCCCCCCTTCTTCCCTACCCTCCTCCTTCTCCACCTCTTCTTCCCTCCTCTCCTTTTCCCTCTCCTCCCCCAATCCCCCCTCCTTCTTCTTCTGTTCGTCACTACCCTTCGATCTCTCCTTCCCCTCCTCGTTCGCTTCTTCTCTCACCTCTTCTCTATTTGGCTTCTCCCCTTTACCCTCAACCTCCTTACCCTCAACCGCCTTACCCTCAACCGCCTTACCCTCAACCGCCTTACCCTCAACCGCCTTACCCTCAACCACCTTACCCTCGACCTCCTTACCCTCATTCTCCTCACATTTCTTCCCCTTCCCCTCATTTTCCGCCTTCCCTTCCCCCTTCTTCGCCTCCTTCCTCTCCCGCTTCTCCTTCCTCCTCCTCTCTCTCCTCTCCTCTCTCCTTCTAGCCTCCTCTATTTCCACTTTGCTCCTCCCTTCCCTCTTCCCCTCTCTCCTTTTCTCCTTCTCCTCCTTACCCTTCTCCTTCCTCCTCCCCTCCTTCCCTTCCTCGCTCTTTTCCCCCCGCCCTTCCACACTCCCCTTCTTCTCTCCCTCCTCCACACTATTTACCCCAGGACTGGCCATACTCGCTAAGGACTGACCCGGGCTTCCTTTAGAGCAACCATCCATATTCACGGACATATCAACACTCCCTCTAAGCAAATCTGGGCTTCCTTCTGGCTGCTCAGCATTATTCAATCCCTCTACAGGGCTCCTTACACCCTCCCCGGGACTCTTGAAATCCCCAGGATTCTTTAACTCGACTCCAGGGGTCTTTGGATCGTCAGGACTCTTTAAAGCGTCAGGACTCTTCAGCGCATCGGCTAAGGATTTCGCTCCTTGATCAGAGCCTTTTGCAGTATGATCAGGGCTCTTAAAGCCTTCATTCCTCACCTCGATGCTTCTCCCTGAATGACCAGGGCTTAAGGGCTGCTCACTCCGCCTTCTCTCCTTCTTCTCCTTCTTTTCTTTCTTCTTCACATCCTGGCCCTCCTCTGTCTTCCTCTCCTTTCTCTTCCCCTCTCCTTTCTCCTCCGCCCGCTTTTCCTCCCTCCTCTCCCGCTTCCTCTCTTTTCGCCTCGCCTCATCTTTCTCATCTCTCTTCTCCTTCTTCTCCTCCTTTCTCTTCTCTTTCTTCTTCTCCTCCCCCCCTTCCTTCTTCTCCTTCTTCTCCGTCCTGTCCTCGGCTCTGCTCCCTTCACCTGTCTCCTCCTTCCTCTTCTCTTTCCGTTCCCCATCCTTCTCTTCCTTCTTCTCTTTCCGCTCCCCATCCTTCTCTTTCCTCTTCTCCTTCTTGAGTTCCCCTCCAACTTTCTCCTCCCTCTTCTCCTTCCCCTTCTTAGTCTCGTCCTCCCCGACCTCCCCTTCCGCTTCCGCCTCTATGCCTCTTCCTTCCTCCTTCCCCCCTTTGTGGTTTTCAGAAGCAATCTCTCCCTCCTCCTCCTCTTTCCCCTCCTCCTCTTTCCCCTCCCCCTTTACCTCACCATCCTCCCTCCCCCCCTTTCCCTTCTCCGCTTCTCTCCTCTCCATCCTCTCCGCCTCCTCTCCCTCGTGTCCTCTTCTTTTCCCCTTCGTCTCCTCTCCCCCATCTCTCGTCGCCTCCTTAACCTTCGCTAGTTCCTTCTCCGCATCCTCCTTCTCTCCCTTACCCTCCACCTCCACCCTCCTCTCTCTCTTCTCCTCCTCCTTCTCTTTCTTCTCCTTCTCCTCTTCTTCCTCCGCTTTCTTCTCCTTCTTTTCACCTTTCTCCTTCTTGTCCTCCTTCTCCTTCCCGATTCTTCCTTTCCCATCCGCCTTCTCTTTCCCTCCCATCAAACCCGTTTCCTTCGCATCCCCCTTCTCTCTCCCTCCCTTCGCATCCGCTCCTTCCTTTCCCTCCTCGTTCCCTACTTTTCCCCTCGCCTCCCTCTTCTGCTTCTCCTTCCCCGCCTCCTGGATCCTTTCCTTAACCACTGCTTCAATAGCAGGTACCTTTCCCTCCACCTCTCGCTTTTCTTCCTCCTTTCCATGCCCGACTCCCTCCCCCTTTAGCAGGACCCCCTTCTCCTCCTCCCTGTCCTCTCGCTCCCCCTTCTCACCGCTCTCCTCCTCTTTCCCCTCTTTCTCAAGTGTTTTCTTCTCCTCCTTCCCTCTCTTGTCACCATAACCCCTCCCCTCCTCCTCCTCCTTCTCTCTCTTGTCACCATACCCCCTCCCCTCCTTCTCCTCCTTCTCACCTTTCTCCTCCTTCCCCTGCTGCTCCTTCCCCTGCTGCTCCTTCCCCTGCTGCTCCTTCCCCTGCTGCTCCTTCCCCTGCTGCTCCTTCCCCTGCTGCTCCTTCCCCTGCTGCTCCTTCCCCTGCTGCTCCTTCCCCTGCTGCTCCTTCCCCTGCTGCTCCTTCCCCTGCTGCTCCTTCTCCTGCTGCTCCTTCCCCTGCTGCTCCTTCCCCTGCTGCTCCTTCCCCTGCTGCTCCTTCCCCTGCTGCTCCTTCCCCTGCTGCTCCTTCCCCTGCTGCTCCTTCCCCTGCTCCTCTTTACCCTGCTGCTCCTTTCCCTGCTCCTTCCTCCCCTGCTCCTCCCTTCTTTGCTCCTCCTTCCCTTGCTCCTTCACCTCCACGTCAGCATGCTCCCCGCCAATCCTGGCCGAATGTCCGGATGCGTTACAGTCACCATCATTGTCACCCGTCCGGTCCCCTATTCCAGAAATACGGGGCTCCGCACGACTCGTCTCCATGGCGTACGCGATACAAGCTGGCTGACTCGCTATAAGCCCCTTGCCTCGTTATAAGCTGGTCGTCGCTCTCTTATAACGAATCAACAACCGCGGTGTAAAATGTCTACTTTCTCTTTTCCTATGAGAAGACAAATAAGCATGTCTTCTGTTGGCTAGGGACTAGCAAACACCCGTCTCCTTACATCCCGGCTTCCTGACTCTAGCACGGATTTGACGAGCGGCTCTCTTCATAACACACGCTTTTCAATCGGTGTTTAAGGAAAAAGCGAGTCGACACTGATTGCGAAGAAAACGAGGGAAGGCGGCTAGGGCTCGCGACGGGTAACCACGTTACCGCAGTCATTCAGATCCACGGTCGGACAAACGAGAGTCCGCTGAATCGCTAAGACGGCAATGCGAAAAGAGATCACTGATACACGGGGGTACGAATAACGAACGAAGCTATCCCGAGGCAGCAGACGGAAAACGTGACGTGTCTGATAGAGATGGACAGACAAGGAGAAACCAAGGAAACAAAAAGCCTACGTTGCTTCTCTTGGCTTTTGATGGCAGGGGACAGACCACATGGGTGGGGAATTCCGGAGGGGCAACAGATGGTCCAGCATCAAGCGATTTCTATAGCGATAATACAGAGAATCACATTTGGTGTTCGCTATACTATATCGAGTACACAACTGCTCGTTTTCGTCGCGAGGCAATCGTGTCAGATCCGCCAATCCCGAGGGTTTCGGGACTTGCACCTGATGCCATTCGCCAATCCCCGCGGGTTGAAGAATCCGAAATAAATGTGACTCGTTTGCTTGACAAGCTCAACAATAACAAGCAACGTACCATAACAAACAGAGGATTCGACTCATAGTGGTCTCTTTCCTAGTGACAATGGACAACAGATGGATTGCATGCCGTCTGAAATCTCGAGTGCAATATTAAAAAAAGGTCGTAAACGGGCCGTAAAGGGCCGTAAACGAGTGCAATCATTGACATGCTCAAACCCAGGAATATAAGGGCATATTCCTACAAGACAATGTTCAGTACTAGCAAACCCGAAATTAAGTCTGAAACGCGAAACAGTGAGGTCCAAGGGTCGAAACGCGAATTCCTGGGCGGTTCAATTTGGTAGTTTGTGAAGTTTGGCTTCCTGGTAACTAGGAATAGCCCTAAAATGGTGAACCGAACACCCCTTGTTACACAAACTCAATACGCCCTGCTAGATGGTTAGAAAAAGACCCAACACTGAGTTAATTCAACACAACAGGGTTAAACCCAGCTATATCTGCGGACTGACAGGCGACGGTCTTTAATCAAATTCAGTGATTTGTTCACCACTGTTGTTGCATCTCTAGTAGATCACAACCTATGGAAGCAACCTTCAACACAACCTCATGGTTTAAGGTTGAACGGATCGCTAACCTGGTGGTACCACAAATCAAGCCACACATCTGGAACCCCGGGCAAGCACCACTTGGCACAATCCATCTCCGACGATCCGCCAGCCGGTTGGTACGTCCCCACATGTGCATCCGCCCTATAGAGCGACATCGACAAGATATTAAGCAGCTTCACCCGCGATTTCGTCAAAGCGTTGATTTGCGCGTTTGTCCACGCGACAACGGCGCTCCGAGCCTTGGCGAGGCTTGTCGCTGTACTCGATAAAGGCCCAGCGAAAAGCGCACATGTTGTATCAGCATACTGGAACATGCTGGGCGTGTGAGCCGGCGGAATCGAGAGTGCGAACGGCTGCACGAGCATCACGTTGGACTTGATGAAATCGGCAACGTTTTTCAGCACGATGCTGAGGGCGGCGACGCCGCTCGGCTGGGCGCCGATCGGGCGGCCCTTGCTGTAGTATGTGCGGTTGGAGGACTCCTGTAGTGGGGGGAGGGGAGGAGGGTGGAGATGGGGGAGGGGGGTATTAAAGGGTGTGGAGAAGAGAAAGGAACCTTGAGAGCACGTATGGCTGGCTGCACAAGCTTGACGTTAGACTTGCGCAGCACAATGCTGAGGGCAGCGGCGATGCCGCCCGGCTGGGCGGCGATCGGGTGGCCCTTGCTGTAGCATGTGCAGTTGGAGGACTCCTGGATAGGAGGGAGGGGAGGGTAGGAGGGTGAAGGGGAGGGAAATAAGGGGGGATACCGACCGTTTCTTGCTGTAGTAAGTGCGGTTGGAGGACTCTTGGAGTGGGGAGGGGAGAGAGGTGGTGGAGCTGGAGGGGAGAGAATAAAGAGAAACCTGGCAGGAATAACAGTAGACTGGGAGGATATTAGGAGGCCCCTGCTTTAATAAAAGTGGTTAGAAGATTCCTAGAGGAGGGAAGGGGGAAGGGTGGGGAAGTGGGTGGATAAGAGGGGGGAAAGGATGGTGGAAAGGATGGTACAAGTGTGGAGAATGTGAGGGGAAGTGTGGCAGAAGCGTTTGTTCGGAAAAGAAGGGGGGGGGGGAAGAGGGGTTTGAAAGGGACGTGAAATTGACGATTTGCATTGTGCAGTTGAGAGGACAAGCTGTCAGCCAAGTCCGGATACAGACCTGTTAGGGCGGTTGCAGAGCGGCATGAGAGTAGGGATTGTGATAGCAGCTACTAGATTAGGGAGGTTTGATTATATTGACGGAGATGAGGTTGTGAAAGAGTCGCAAGAAGGGAATAGGATAAAAATTTGGTCACAAAAAAAAATATGTATAATCAATAATGTGCTGGAGGACTAGTTATGCGATGACAACACAACAAAAAGGTGGTGACAGCTTGTTCTATTCCCACTTACCGCGTAGTAGGAGCCGGCCACAAGGATGACCGATCGCAGCCCTTTAAGTGTTTCTGTTAACTTGTGGTTGATTTTATCCACATGCACGTTCCATCCGTCCTTCATCGATCGCTGCAACTGATGTTAACAAGAGGAGAGGAGGCAAGGCAGAAGGGTATTTGTAAGCATCAGCTGGTGGTTGGTTCCGTCCACATGCACGTTCCATCCGTCCTTCATTGATCGCTGCAACTAGAGTAGGAAGGGGGAAAATTATCAACAAATAGAATTGCTTGTGTTGGAAGAGGAAATGATTAAGTGCATGGTCTGTGAGGTATGACAAGGACTTTGAAAGGTCGCACGGGCTATGTTTAATACTGAGGCTGTAGTAGCCCAGTCTTGATGGGTTGCAAGGACACGAAAACAGGGCAAACCTGTTTGAGACGGAACATAGGCAGAAGCCAGTGTAGTGATTACTTCACTCTGCTGTTATTGCGATTGCTCTTACCGGATCCATCGGTTCCGCTTCGGTGAGGAATGGTGCGTGAACGAACACGACCTTGACCCCCCACGGCTTGACCTTGAAGCCTTGACCGGTCCAGCCTATAGAGGAGGGATCGAAATCCTTTTCGGAGGAACGCGGGAGAGAAAATAAGAGATAAACATGAAAATTTTAGATGGTTGCAGTGATATTCCTCTGTGCCGAACCGGACTCAACCGAGCGCCGTGGGAAATTAACTGCTTCAGTTTAGTACGCCGAACCGATTTCAGTTAATCGAGCTTCTCAACGTAGGATTCTAGGGTAACCAGCTCTCACCTCTGTTTTCATATTCGCAGCGTCCAGGCGACACCTGAGCGACTGATACATGTACTGCCCGGAATTGTCGCCCACGATCGCCACAGCCTGTCCGACGAAAGTCATCGCGAATTTCTTCGCATCGAACCGAACCAGATTGCACCCCGACGGCTTCCATTCGAAGTGGCGAAAATCGCCGTCCGGTCGCCCGTTCTTTTCGCAATTGAACTGTTCGCTTATATACGGACACGAGGAGTCGTATACCGGGTACTTGGTCGACGGGGCCCAACTGCAGGGTAAAGCAAGGATCACGCTTAGAAATTAGTGAGGGAGCCATGATAAGTGTGGGAGGATTGGCGGGGATGCGGATGGGGGATGGGGAGGGGATGGGAAGGCCAAGGGGGCTGGAAAGGGGCAGGTAAAGGGGGACGCACAAAAGGGTGGGGCAGAGGGTTTGGCGAAGTGGGAAGGGGGGCAGTCTGAATGTTCTTTTTTTTGGCCGCGATTCGTTCAAACACAATGTTAGCACGTGGTAATGTTCGGCTACTCTTCACCCACCGATAAGGGGAGATAGGGATTTCTCGAGTGATGCGTTCGTCAGCCGCTATTGGTCAGCCGCTTACCTCCCAACGGACAGGTCACATGCTTTCTTCTTCCCGCCGAACCCGAAAAGCCCAGCGTGTGCCACGTGCAGCCCCACCAGAAGAAGCGCGCCGAGTAGAAGGCTCCTGATTGACCGCATCGTGCTCGGAGGGGGGCACCTTCTGCTGAATAGGGTTGCGACTGTTTCTCGCGAAAGCGTTCGCGATCGAAATTGGCCTTTGGCGAACGTGCCGACAGAGAGAAGGAAGGGCAGTATGCGGTGCAGGCACGAAATGGCGTAACTAAGGTTGCGCTCAAATGGTGGTGCTTCAACGCTCCGAAACGAAATGTTTGGCTGAGGAACACGGGCAAGAGTAGTTAGAGTGTATTTTGAGTCAACTCAAAATACATTTGGCTGAGGAACACGGGCAAGAGTAGCTAAAGTGCCTGTGTGCTTCGTCTCTATAGCTCACGTCTCGAATCCAGGTAGAAGCTGAGAACAGCAGGTATTTGCCTCTTCCTCTAGGTGTCAGTAGAGATGGTGGAACGGGAACGGGAAAACGGGAAACGTTCTCCCTTTTCTGAGAAAACGGGATCCTCGGACTGCCAGAAACGGTTGCGGAATCTGAACCAAGGTCTGAACGGTTAAGGCATAAATTGTTGAAAGAAGTCAACGGGGACGGCGGTATAGACTAGCTCGAGAACCTAACCGGTCTAGCTAGTTTCCTTCGGCAAATGTTTTCCTGGGACAAAAAGCGACGATTAATATCAAATGCTCGAGGCGAGCAAGCACGGCTTGATTCATACGCCAAGAGAAGAATGCTTCGAAACAGTCTGCAACAAAACCGGCGAAGCGTTTCCGCGAACAGGAGCGTGATGTGAAACGCGAACGTGATGCGGACAGCTTAGAACGAACGTGAATCAAAGGCCGCGGCGTTTGAATTCTTCGGAATCTAGTCGAGATGGCCTGAAAGGGGATGGGCCGCTTGAATCTAGTCGGTGGAATTCGCGGAAGCTGGGATCTTTGAGCGACACGAAAGGGGCAGCCAGGTGTACCTAGGACAGTGGTTGCTGTGGTCTAACGGGAAAACGGGAATCCATGCATGCGTGTTCGAAAGGTTTGACTGCCGACAAGCGCTGGTTCTGTGTTGCTGGTTGCATTCACAGGGTGGGAGGAAGCCGAGTTTGTCTTTGGGGAACAAGAACTGGGAGGTGGATGCAGCCGTGCTTGATTTTGGGAGCGAAATGTGCTCGATTAGGGGAAAGAAAATTTGCTTCAAATTAGAAATTGGCGGGCGGGGTCGTCGCGCCACGCTCTGCGCCTCGGCTGAGTTGACGTTCTCGATCGAGCGTTTGGTTTCCGATGGACGGCTCAAGTAAATTCAACATTTCTCGGGGCTTGGCGCGGGTGGTGGTTTGGCTTGATGCCCCGTTTGGCCCGTTTGTACGCAATTTCCTTACGAAAGCGCGAACGAGGTTGGCGGCAAAAACACATAAGGGGCGTATTTGGAGAAATCTTCCCTGAAGAAAGCTTCGAATTTCGTTACAATGGGATATCATCACCAATAATATGTAGGAGCCCAACCACAAAAGGCACACATGGCAACCCATATTTTCCAGGGTAGGTTGCCGGGTGTGGCATGTTTTGTCAGAAAAAATATTTTTTTGACTAATTAGGCCTACATTATGGGAGTCGCTGATTCTTGGGCCGGACTTGTTTGCGTACAAGCTGTCAAACATGTGTATTTGTCATGTTTGTATAGACTGTATAGGGTAGCCTCTTGGAGGGTACAACACTTAGGTATATCTGTGTGTACTCTCACTCTAACCACCATTCATTTCTTCAATTTTGAGATGGTATCACGCGTAGGTAGGATCCCCCCCCCACCTACCGCTTCCGCTCGCCCCTCCTAGCCCCGTCGTGCCCCTAGCCCCGTCGCGACCCCCCTAGCCCCGTCGCGCCCCTTCCTGGGCCCCGTCGCGCCCCTTCCAGGACCCTGTAGCGCCCCTCCCAGGCCCCGTCACGCCCCTCCTGGGCCCCGTCGCGCCCCTCCTAGGCCCCGTAGCGCCCCTCATGGGCCCTGTCGCGCCCTTCCTGGGCCTTGTAGCGCCCCTCCCAGGCCCCGTCGCGCCCCTCCTAGGCCCCGTAGCGCCCCTCCTGGGCCCCGTAGCCCTCCTCCTGGGCCCCGTCGCGCCCTTCCTGGGCCCTGTAGCGCCCCTCCTGGGCTCAGTCGCGCCCCTCCCAGGCCCCGTCGCGCCCCTCCTGGGCCCCGTAGCGCCCCTCCTGGGCCCCGTAGCGCCCCTCCTGGGTTCCGTCGCGCCCCTCCTGGGCCCCGTAGTGCCCCCCCTGGGCCTCGTCGCGCCCCTCCCAGGCCCCGTCGCGCCCCTCCTGGGCCCCGTAGCGCCCCTCCTGGGCCCCGTCGCGCCCCTCCTGGGCCCCGTAGCGCCCCTCCTGGGTTCCGTCGCGCCCCTCCTGGGCCCCGTAGTGCCCCCCCTGGGCCTCGTCGCGCCCCTCCTGGGCCTCGTAACGCCCCTCCTGGGCCCCGTAGCGCCCCTCCTGGGCCGCGTCGAGCCCCCCCCTCCTGGGCCCCGTCACGCCTTCCGGCCCCGTCGCACCCGCCCGGCCCCGTCGCGCCAGCCCGGCCCCGTCGCGCCCGCCCGGCCCCGTCGCACCCGCCTGGCCCCGTCGTCCCCTGCCCGGCCCCGTCGCAGCCGCCCGGCCCCGTCGCACCCGTCCGGCCCCGTCGCACCGGCCCGGCCCTGACGCACCTGCCCGGCCCCGTCGCACCGGCCCGGCCCCGTCGCACCCGCCCGGCCCCGTCGCACCTGCCCGGCCCCGTCGCACCGGCCCGGCCCCGACGCACCTGCCCGGCCCCGTCGCACCAGCCCGGCCCCGTCGCACCCGCCCGGCCCCGTCGCCCCAGCCCGGCCCCGTCGCCCCAGCCCGGCCCCGTCGCGCCCGCCCGGCCCCGTCGCACCAGCCCGGCCCCGACGCACCCGCTCGGCCCCGTCGCCCCGGCCCGGCCCCGTCGCACCCGCCCGGCCCCGTTGCACCGGCCCGGCCCCTGCGCTCGTTCCTGCCCCGGCCCCGGTCCTCCTCACTGGTACGGTTCCCCCCCCCCCCCCCCCCCGCACTGCACCGCCCCTCACCACCCTGTACTGCCTGGCACCGCACTGCACCGCACAACACCGCACTGTACCGCACGGCACCGCACTCCACCTTGCTGCACTGCCCTGCACCGCACTGCGCTGTTCCTGATGGCGGCGGAGCTTCGCTTTGACGCTGAAGGCCAGCCTTTGGAGTTCGAGGCATGGCTTGCCGACCTCCGCCGCCAACTCACTGGCCAGCGGCAGGATGGCGAACCGCTTTCCGCACACCTTGACGGTACGCTCCCCTGCCCAGACCCCCCTGCTATTTTGCCTGCTGACTCCACCCCTACCAAGCGCGAGTCTACTGCTGCCACTGCCCGTGCGCGCTCTGTCTGGCTTTCTCGCGATGCTGTCGCCCAGCTTGCCATTAGCAACGCCCTTCCCCCGTCCGAGCGCCCTCGCTTTAGGTCCCTCACCACTGCTCAGGCATACTTAGATGCTGTCATCCAGCGCTATTCCACTCCTCCGGCTGCCTCGGTAGGTCGCCTGATCCTCCCGATGCTCTTTCCTGACCTTGCATCCTTCCCTACTGTCTCTGACCTTGCTGCCCACCTGCGCTCGATAGATGAGACCTGGCGCGCTGCCTGCACTGACGCACAGCTTAGAGCCCACCAGCCGCCCATTACCTCTACCCTCTACCTGCTTGCCCCCCGCCTCCCTGACCACCTCGCTGTCGCCCGCGACCGCTTCCTTAGCATTCACCCTGCAGACCTCACCCTCACTGACTTTGTAGACACCCTGACTGTGATAGAGACCCGTCACCGCTCCATCGCCCAGGCGAGCGGTGCCGTGCCGGTCCCTATCTTTCAGGGTTGTGCCCCCGCTCAGTGTACCTTCTCCGACGGCTCTGCTACTGTGGCTGAGACTGCTGCTTCAGCGCAGTTCCGTTCGGGGAAGGGCCGCCGCCCCAAGCTTGGGCGCGGCGGAGGCGGGGGTGCGGGAGGGGGTAGTGGTGGGGTCGGGTCGTCTGGTGCTGGAGCGGACGAGGGGACCCTGCCCAGTCCAGCTGAGCCGCCGCCCCTGCAGTTGCAGCAGCCGCAGCAGCCGCCGCAGTCGCAGCCTTCGCAGCAGCCGCAGCAGCCGTCGCAGACACGGCAGACGAGTGTCCTCCCGCCCGGGTGGCCCGGCGCTGGTGGTGACTGTGCGCGTGGTGGTGTGCCGAGTGGTGGCTCTGGCGGCGGGCGTTGTCAGTACCATATCCAGACCGGTCCTCGCCGCGGCTTCGTTTGCGGTAAGATCGGTCACTCCACTCCCCGTTGTGTTCGTCGCCTGGACGACCTCTTCCGTCAGCGCTTCGGCCCGTCGCCGGACCTCCCGGACTGGCACAGTTTGCTTAGTCGTAAGATTCAGATCTTTGATATGGATATGGATGCCATTGTTTCTGCTCTGCATGTGATGTATGCTGATGACTCTAGTGTGCTTCCAGCTAATTACTCACTGTTGCCTAGCGTAGGCGTGTCTAGCGTAGCCTCCCCTGCTGCGTCAGGCGTAGGATCCTCTGCTTTGTGTAGTCTTGGTGCTTCCATCGTCGTTCCGACGCCAGACGCCTCTGCTTCGCTTTCCTTCACCTTGGACTCTGGCGCTTCTCGGTGTTTCTTCCGCGACTCCACCACCCTGACGCCGCTTCCTGTTCCTGCTGCCGTCTCTCTTGCTGACCCCTCTGGTGGTCCGGTAGTCGCCCGCAGTTCCACCACCCTTCCCTGTCCGGCGGTTCCTTCGGGCTCTCTCACAGGTCTGCATATCCCCTCGTTCTCCAGGAACCTAGTTGGTGTCGGCTGCCTCCAGGACCTTGGCGTCACCACTACGTTCCCTGGCCACGAGTGGTATGCTGTCTGTACCGAGGCCGCCACTGGTGCCCCCCTGTCCACGTTCCCCCGGGACCCGGTATCCGGCCTGTTCACTCTGGACACCGTGACTCCCCCGCCTGGGGCCCCCCCTCAGGTGGCTACGTCTACCCAGGTTGCTGCTGCCTGCTCCTGTCGGTCCCTCACTCACCCGACTCTCCTCTGGCACCACCGTCTAGGTCACCCTGCGCTCCCGCGTCTGCGTCACATGTCCCAGCACGGTCTTGTCCTTGGTCTCCCCGGTTCTCTCCCCGCGTTTCCCTCCTCCCCCGCCCCCCCTTGCACGCCCTGTGTCGAGGGTCGGCTTCGCCGTGCCCCTCACTCCTCCTCGTTTCCCCCTACCGCCGCGCCGTTGCAGACCCTGCACCTGGACGTCTGGGGCCCCGCCCCCGTCCCCGGGCCGCGTCGAGAGCGCTACTTCCTTGTGCTCGTCGACGACTTCACTCGTTACACCACAGTCTTTCCCCTCGAGCGCAAGGCCGACGTGCCTGGTGCTCTCATCCCCTGGCTTGTCTCTGCGCGTGTCCACCGCGGTCTCCCTGTCTTGCGTCTTCATTCAGACCGTGGTGGCGAGTTTGCCTCAGGTGTCCTTGGTCGCAATTGTCGTGCGGAGGGCATCACCCAGACGTTCACCCTACCGGACTCCCCACAGCAGAATGGGGTCGCTGAGCGACGCATCGGTTTGGTCATGGAGGTGGCTCGCACCTCCATGATCCATGCCGGTGCACCCCATTTTCTGTGGCCGTTTGCTGTGCGCTACGCTTCTCACCAGCTTAACTTGTGGCTGCACCCTCAGCAGCCGCAGGTTTCGCCGACCCGTCTCTGAACTGGGTCTCCTGGTGACGC